TTATCACTCTTTGTTACTACGGAACCATGGTGCAATCAGTGCGCCTCAAAAAAGTCTCCACAGAAAGAGCCGGAGTGAGTCCAGCCCCTAAACGCAACGTTGCCTGCTTCGTGCGGTTTAGGGCCTTTGTTGGGTTTACAGGGCTTCAGGGTTTGAAATGAGTCCCTGGGTCTGAGAGGGCTGACGGGGCTTTGAGGCTTTGTGAGGGGCTTTTAGGGGAAACAGGCGCGTAAAAACCTGGTTTTTTCGTGCACTTTTGTGAAGGTTTGGGTTTTGGGGGGGTTGAGGGGGGGGGGGTTGTTAGGGGGGGGGGGCTACCATGATTACGCTATCCATGCCCATAACCACCGGAATCTGCAGCGTTTTTGCTCCTTCTACACAACATGCTGCACCAGGATGTTTGACGTTTCGGTTACACCGACGCAGTGTCACAAGTCTTTGTGCAGCGGTGTTGTCGTCATGATGCCCGACACCATCTAACAATACCAGCAGAAGCCACATAACATCAAAAAAACAAAACGCACACTAACTGAACCCTTGTTGTGCTGCGTAAACACGTCTAACAATCATGGTTTTATTTTGCTCGTTTGCTTGCCGCCTATTGCGGCCTGTCACGTGAAGGAGTGATGTGACTTCTGTGTCATACATTTCAGCTTGGAGTTGTAGCTTCAACAATATAAAGTTCAAACACATCGTTTTTTTAACCGTGTTTTCTTTGCTGTGGAACATTCCGAACCTAATTCTTGCGCGTGTCCTGCAACATGTAACATAAACAGACCGTCGCTTAGCAGCTAATCCAGGCGAAACCGGGCAGCGCACCATCCAGTAACCAGGTTGTTTTAACGCGCCTGTGAACTTTTTTAGGGGCACATCCGAGAGCGCGCTGATGGATGGCCAGGATCGGATCGACCCCCTTGACAACTGTGGCCTTTCCTGGTGGGGGGGGGGGGGGGGGAAGGGGGGGGGGGCTTACGATAAGACTCTTCACTTAGAGCTCGTTGGCCATCTAGCACCCTAAACCCTAAACCCTAAACCCTAAGCCCTAAACCCTAAACCCCAAACCCTAAGCCCCAAACCCCAAACCCCAAACCTAAACAGTATCGATTGGGCGAGAGTCGAGGTTCAGCCATATCAAGACTCCTCGATGCCTAGGTACTGGGGATTTGGAGAGTGTCCTTCGGGGTTTGAGTTTAGTGGGGTAAAGGACGGTTTAGGGCTTGGGGTTTAGGTTTGGGGTTTGGGGTGTAGGGAAAATCCTATGTACCCCAAGCCCTAAACGCTCTTGGGGCCCTTCGTAAACCATGAGATTCGTAGAAACATCTGTCTTGCGATGAACCCTAACCTCAACCCCTAAACCCTCAATTCCACACAAGTTCAGCCGCCGGCAGCGCCGAGCCCAGAAGAAGGGAAGTGAAGCCCGAGGTACTGATCCACTAGCCCTGAGCGTGCGCAGTTTGGGGTTTGGGCCTCACAGGGCTGTTACAGGGGCTGGTGTGTAGGGATTTAGGCCTTGCAGGGGAAGGTAAAAAGACCATCGCGCAGTATAGAGCTTAGGGTAGTTCGCCAACCCAGGGTTCTTGGGGCTTCAAGGGAGTTCGGAGGCTTGCTTCGGCAACCGTGGGGTTCTCGAAGGACTTTTCCAAATCCGACAGCACTTAGGTCCAGGTACAGCCCTGCGACCGCAAGCTCCTGCCAACAGCCCTACAAAACTCCATAGGCATGACTGAATCCACCCCAAACCCTAAGCCTGACAGTAACCATAAAGGCCTCATTACTCAGTTGCTAAACGAAGCAAAAACCTCCAGAGCCCACGGCGCTGCGTCTCGTAGCCGCCAGAGCCGGCCACGGCGGCGCCGGTGCCCGCGGCGGCAGCCGAGGGCGAAGCTGCCTGGAGGAGGCTTCAGGCTGTGAGGCGTTGGGTTTACGCGTCCGGGTTTTAGGGTTTAGGGTTTGGGGTTTTCGGGCTTCTTGGGCCTTGTGATTTTGCAGGGTGGGAGTGGGACTGTGATCCCGCTTCCAGGGGCCCATGTGGGCGATACCCACAAACCTTTTGAGGCCTGCTAGGTCCATCTCAAGGGCTTCTTTCCATCAGGTTTCTAGAGGGTTTCTATGGAGTGTAGGGCTTACAGGGTTCTTTCGGGTTTTTGCCGGTCTCTGTGCGTCTTTGTGGCTTTGGATTCTTCGGCTGCTAAAACCTAAATCCTCCGAGCGATTGCAGTTCTCCGTGAGGGCCCCTAGAAGCGAAAGCAATGCAGGCCTTAAGGGGCCCTCAGCCCTTAACGCCCTTAAAGCCCTCTACCCAAAAGATGCCCTTGACGGGGACAAGTGCCGGGCGGCTCCTTGTTCGGACGTTGGAGATTGAGGGGTGTGTGTGTGTGTGTGGGTGGGTGCAGCCAAGCCCTGGAGGGGAAGTTTTCTGTATTTTGGTGCCTCCTGGGGTTGAGGTCCTGGAGGGCTTAGGGTTTAGAGCTTAGGGTCTAGGGCTTCGGGCTTAGGGCTTAGGGCTTAGGGCTTAGGGTTTAGGGCTTAGGGTTGAGGGTTTGTTTGGGGGAGGGTGGTCGTGGAGTGGGAGCGGGGAGGAGGGGGAATCTTGTGGCTGGCAGGATGGAACTGCTGGTTGGCCTGCAGGGGATTTAGGGGGGGGTGTTGGTAGGTTGGGCGTCAGGGTTTTAGGGTTGAGGGTTACTAGTAGGGTTTAGGGTTTAGGGTTACAAGATTCATGGATTCCCGGGCCTCTTGCGCGTTGGCGGTCTGCATGAAGGGCCCATCTAACTTCGTGGCTGGTGCAGGCGAGGACGACGAAACCTCATCTTCCACGTCTCTGCCTAAAACCTCCCCAAACCCAGGAAACCGCCCCCAAATTCTAAGTTGTGGACTGGCAGATATGTCTGGATGGCGTGGAAGCTTCCCTAAGGTTCTGGCCCTACACTCCCTAGGCTCCCAAGCCTCCCTGAACCCTTAGGGTCCCCACCTACACATTTTAAGAACATGGGGCTCACCAGTAACGGATACTTGGCCGGGGGAGGGCTGGGAGCAAGTAAGCCTCTAAGCCCTAAACCCTGAACCCCAAACCTTCCTGTGGCCAAGTGGCCAGCCGGAAGCCGGAGTGCTGGAGGAAATGGGGCCGGAAGTGATACCGGCAGAACCCCGAGGCGCCATTGTCCGACTTGCCTAATTATGGATTGGAAGTATAGGGCCTAGTAGGGCATTCAGAGGGTTCATAGGGGTGTGGGCACTTCTACACTTCAACGCGGCGCCCTCTGCCCCCTCTAACCGGAGATCGCGGGTGTGAAGGTGCTGGTGGGCTTCAGGGCTTTGAGAGGTTTCGTGCAATCGTTCCCTTTTGGGGCTCTGGAAGGCAGGCTCATGTGTAGACCAAGCACCCCAAATCATGCAGAAGGGAGGGGGGACACCTTTCGGCTAGGGACCCATTCCAAGGAAAAAAGTGGGTGCAATGGTGCAATGCGTGTGGAGGCCGTGGCGGATTAGTCTAGAGGGTTTATGGGGGGTTTTGATGGCTTAGGGTCTCACCTCACCCGGAAACCCCGTGGAGTTACTGTTCAACTATGGGAACTATACGTAGTCATACTGCACGTACTACTATTGCGATGAATCAATACCAATGCAAGTAAAGGGCTAATGCTAGTAACACTGAAGAGTACAGCTCTTACTACTGGGTTGTAGTCCGAGGTGCTGATGTAGCTTCCGCCCATGATTATGTGATGTCGCCCATCAAAGCACGGTGTGGAGAAGTCGTCGTAGGTCTTGGAAAGGCGATTAAGTTTGTAGCTTGGGGGGGACATGGGCATTTCCCAAAATAGGAGGTACCCCGTTTGTACCCCAAATAGAAGAGAATCCCCCTAAACGGACCCCTCAAAAAGGGTATCCTATGTTCGGCAACCCCCACATGTTGGGCATAGTACTGCGGAGCTGCGACGTATCGGAACCCTCTGTTTCCCCTCTGTGCGTGGAGAAGCGCTGCTTATCGACTTCTCAGCCGCTGGCATAGTGGACCTTGAAGCCATCAAGCGGGTTGAAATGGTCCTCTGTCCATTCCCAAACGTTGCCTGCGACAGCTGAGCGTTCTAAACCGCATCATCAAGCGATCTAGCCGCACGTGCTTCATCCCCTGCATTCTCTTGCGCACCCCACGACAGGTCTGTTCAGTAAACCCTAAACCCCAACCCTAAACCCTAAACCCTAAACCCTAAACCCTAAAAACCTTATTTAAAAAAAAAAACACTGAAAGCCCCCCCCAAAAGCACAGCTCTCCAAGCTCTCCAAGCCCCGTGCCCATGGCATCGTGGTGTCCCGTCGGGGAAGCCGGAAGCGCGTCCACCGGAGACTGAGAGGCCTGGGCTAATTAAGGGTTAATTAAGGGCTAATTAAGGGCTTATAAAGGGCTTATTAAGGGTACGCAAAGGGCTTATTAAGGGCTTAAGGTTTGGGGAGGTTAAGGTTTCTGCAGCGGATTGAAGGTTCCGGGCCGTAGTAAGGGCAAAAGTCTTTGGCTTCTCTCCGTGGCTGTCTAGGATGATGCTACGGAGTAACATGGAACGGCACTGGACTGGGGGGCAACACGTTCCGCATACTTGCACCATTTCTTGATGGCTGGTTCTCTCCGTCTCTCTCTCTCTCGCTCTCTCTATCTGTCCCTGTGTGTGTGTGTGTGTCGCAGACTTCAACAATTTGTTCTTGCCAGTATTTCGGCTTGTGTTGCGAAGAACCTGCAAAACTAAGACAGCTCACTAAACTAGCATTTCGCTGTCCAGGTCCCGCGTCTAGGAGCACGGCATAGGCCAGGTTGGCATTGGCAGCATTCGAAGCAGAAAGGGCATACTCTTCACCGCCTCAGCAACAGGTCGGGTCTTGGGAGGCGCCGAATTCCTAGCAACTTGGCAACTGCAGTTCGCTATGCGTAGGCTGCGTAGGGCACATATCTGCTGACAGCACACCGGCCCTTTAGCACCCTCAGCTGGAACCCCAAGCCCCCCTAAACCCTAAACCCTAAACCTCAAAGGATCGCCTGCATGCATGGCCCGGTCGTAGGCCCGGGAGGCCATGTTCTCAGAGCGCGCCTGTGTCAGCATTCATGTGGGGGTTCCGAAACTAGAGGGGGGGGGGGGGGGTGTACCCTTTTTGGGGGGGTCCCTTTAAGGGGATTCTATTGTATTTGGGCTCAAAAAGGGGTACCCCTATCTTGGGAATATACCCATGCCGGAACCTTCTTTGGTTTCGCCACATCGCGAGCCTCCGGATGCCGAATCAACTGATGCTCGGCCTCCGTGATGACCCGGTACGCCTCCCAAAAACCAGCTGGGGGTCGCATGGTCCCTCAAGGGGCTCTTGTCGCCAAAGAGCTTCCGCGAGCCGTTGACGTTCAGAGGCTGGAGGTTTGTTGAGGTGTTCGTGCAGTCAATGCGCCAATCGCGTCAAGCATGGCACTTTAGGGGTAGAGAGTCCAGGATAAGCCTGAATCTTGAGGAACTCGACTGGAGCTGGAGACTGTTTCGACGAGACTGTTTCGACGACTCTTGCATGCAAGATCCACCAGGCCAAGCCATCACCAAAACAACCTGTGCAGAATTCACTCCCAGAAATCCCAGGCCTAAACCCCAAACCTTAAACCCGAAGCCCTCAACCCTAAACCCTGAACCCTAAACCCTAAACCCTCCGCAACCCTGAGCCCTGAGTCCATCAGCATCTGATTTTCCGAGCCTCAGGGCTGCCAGCCAAACCATCCTGCCCACCAGTTTTAGGGTTTAGGGTTTAGGGTTTAGGGTTTCGGTTAGGGTTTAGGGTTTAGGGTTTAGGGCTCCGGGTTTAGGGTTTAGGGCTCCGGGTTTAGGGTTCAAGGTTTAGGGTTGAAGAGATGACTTTGAATTGAATTGAGCAACCAGCAACATGAGAAGCTGTAGACAGAAGGTAGAAGACTAGGGCAAAAGGCTCTCATCAAGAAGGGCCTGTGTATGGAATCTGTCAAATTAAGACAACTCGTATAAAGTCGGTTTACTTTGTGCACGTAGTTCTTTTGCCCTTTCAAGTTCGTTACCGTTCCTTCTATTCACGCCGCGTTCACTTCGTTCTCGCGAAGTTGGGGGACTTCCGAGCGGCGGCCGTTTCGGAGCGTGCCAGCAGCAAGCAGATTGGGATGAAAGAAGGGTTGAGGGTTGAGGGTTGAGGGTTGAGGGTTGAGGGTTGAGGGTTGAGGGTTGAGGGTTGACGGTTGAGGGTTGAGGGTTGAGGGTTGAGGGTTGAAGGTTGAGGGTTGAGGGTTTCGGGTGTCGGGTTTAGGGGTTAGTGTGTAGGGTTTAGGGTTTCTGTTCAAAGAGAGAGTTCCTGGTTTTCAATGCCTGTCAACCTGCAAAGCCTTGTCCCTTCCAGCATCATCCTTCGGATCTTGGGGCTTCCATGGGGTGGGTGTCTTTGTATGAGGGTTTAGGGTTTAGGGTTTAGGGTTTAGGGTTTAGGGTTTAGGCGGAACATCAGGGTGTCGATTTCGGAAGTAACCAAGAGAAAGGAAAAGGCAAGTTGCTCTAGAACAACCCCGCGTGGTGGATTCCCTATGTTGGGGCTCCTTCCTGGGGTGTTCTAGCACGGGCCTTGATTTATTTAGATTTCCCCAGCAAGGGCGCAGAACTTCGAGAACTTGAGCGCGGATTGTAGAGCTTCATTATGGGCCCTTTAAGGGGATGTTCTGTGTGCTGGGAACCCTTGGATCCACAGTTAAGGTCAAGCATTAGGACCATTGGTGTCTGCGCAGTTTAGGGTTTAGGGCTGGAAGGTTCAGAGCCCAGGGCCTAGGGCTCAGGGTTTTAGAGCTTAGGGACGATGAAAGGGCTCACAATTTCGGGTGGTAAAAGACCTGGCGGGCAAGCATGCAGCTGGCGAGGCAGCCATGGCCCCTGAAGGTATTTAGGGCACGGTACCTGGTGCAACCCCCAACATAGATTATGAAGCCCTAGGCAGCCATTTCGGGAGTCAGGCCTGCTCTGATTTCCAGGCGCAGTAGGCGCGCGCCTCCACATTTTCAGGGTTGGGGTTCACTTACTGGGCTTCGGCTTCATGGGGCGGAGGGTTTACAGGGTTTAATGTTGACTTCACATTAGTGGATCCACCCGCAATTGTAAAATCCCGCTGCCGGAACACAATAGTGTAGCCCGCCACAATTGTAAAATCCGACCCGGGAAATCCGGTTTTTACGGGCGTGGTGCTACTACCTAATACTAAAACTAATAGTACGTCCTACCAGGATTTAGGCGAACATTATTGAGGAGGCCCTGGCCGGAGAGATTGATCAATGAAGGGGGGGGGGTTTATTAATGCGAAGTCAACATTAGGGCTTAGAGTGGGGTTTATGGGGCTTAGTTTAGGGTTTGGAGGGTTTATAGAGTTCAGAGGGCTTAATTAGGGTTCATAGTGTTGGGAATATCGAGTCCTGACCCGTAGGGCTTGGGGGGACTCATGAACTTCCTAAAAGACATGGTTAGACCCAAGAGGAACATAGGAATAGCAACGATACCCTTTTTAGCTTAAAGGGGTTTGTGAGGGAACCCAAGCCCTAAAAAAAAAGAAATAAGGGAACCCACTCTGGGTCCTAGATGGGGATTCAAGGCTCCGAGGTGCTAACCCTAAACCCTAAACCCTAAACCATAGATGGGGATTCGAGGCTCCGAGGTTGCACTGCGAGAGAGTCAAGCTGCGTGCCTCATGGTAGTTGACGTCGACCGGCCAGCTCCAGGCCATTTCGATCTCCTGCACCCTAAACCCTAAACCCTAAATCCTAAACCCTAAATCCTAAACCCTAAACCCTACACCCTAAACCCTAAACCCTAAACCCTAAACCTTAACCCCTCTTGGGGGACTGAAGGAGGCACCCTCATGAGGGGCCCCTTGAGTTTCCTGAAGGGCATGTTAGAGGGGCGGGGGTGGGGGGGGGGGGGGGGGGGGGGGGGGGCGGCATGTAAGAGATGAAGAGGCAGATGGGAGGGCATACCCTAAACCCTAAACCCCAAACCGGTAAAGGGTCGGTCCCCCTCTTATTTTTCCCTGTAAGTTGGGCGGCGAGCTGCCAAAGTGCACCATTTAGGGTTTAGGGTTTAGGTTTTAGGGCTTAGGGTTTTGGGTTTTGGGTTTTGGGTTTAGGGTTTAGGGTTTAGGGTTTAGGGTTTAGGCCTAACCCGCAAATCTATGAGCCATCCCTAGAAAACCTACAAGCCCTGTAAACCCCGACAAACCCCATAATCTCCACATCCAATACCAACAACCCTTCGAACCCTAAATCATCAAACCGTCTATGCCACAAAAAAGCTCCGAAGCGACCTGTAAACCCTAGGGGCTAATTCCGAAGCCCCTAAGACCCTAAACCCCTAGGACCCTCAGACCCTAAACCCCTAAGCCCTAAACCCCTAAACCTCTCAACCCTAAACCCCTAAGTAAACCCTAAAACACTAAACCCTAAACCCCAAACCCCAAACCCCAAACCCCAAAACCCTTTATGAACACTGAGGGCCAGCCTCGAAGATGGTCCGGAGCTTGAACTGCATAGATCCCTGCGGCCTAAGGGCCAGGGAGGGTTCAGGCTTGGCAATTTAGGGTTCGACGTTGAAACTTGAAACTTTAGGATTCCAACTTTAGGGCCCCGGGTTTAGGATTTCAGGCTTAGTCTTTGGATGGTCTGTGAAGGATTGCAGGCGCACGTCTCGAGTCCGCAATCCTGAGACACTACGGACTTCGGGGGCCCGACCCATCCTGCACCCAGAAGAAGGGCCACTTCATGTTCCGGTACTTCCGCCAGTTCCATCCTTCCTCCGACCTCAGATTTGAGGTCTCCAGGGTTCCGTGTCCCTGTACGTCATGCTCAGTTCTCAAATCCAATAAGGCGAAGAGCTGAGATCCAGACCAATACTTCTCAGTTCGGTACCCGCCGCCCGCCACAAAGTGCCAAAATTCACCTGGGTGCTGCGTCCATACCCTAAACACTACCCTGACCTCAACCCTCAACCCTCAGCCCTCAGCCCTCAACCCTCAACCCGCAACCCTCAACCCTCAACCCTCAACCCTCGACCCTCAACCCTCAACCCTCAACCCTAAGCCCTAAGCCCTAATAAAGCCCTAAACCCTACCCTCAGCCCAAAAAACCCTGACTACGGTTATGGCCTTAAGAGCCCGCAACGTGCCGAGCCGCCGTTTGTGATCAAGTACTTGCTTGCAGCGAAGTCCCCGACCTGGCCACAAAAGAGAGAGAACCAATAAACCCTAAACCTCAACCCCGGGAACCAGGCAGTGGCCAGCCTGCACCCTGCGATGGCCGTACTCATTGTCCCATCCATAGCTAGGGAAGTCACGCGGCCTTGTTGTCAGATGTTGAGGGGGTTTCGGGTTTGGGGGCTTCGTGTCCAGGGCTTGGGGTTTGGGGTTTGGGGTTGGGGGCTTGGGGAATTTCCTCAGGTACACAATGATCATCTCGAAAACAAAGCAAAGACTTCAACTGGTACCTTCAACACCTTCAACCGGGGGCCCCCTTATATGCCCCTTCTCTACCCGATACAACCCAAGTGCACACCTCAAACCAAAATCTTCACCAGCACGCTCTGGGGCTGCAGCTTGCCAAGATTCACGGCCTCGCCCTTGACAGTCAGCATCTCGTTCTTTGGGAAGTCCTGGATGCGACTGAGTCTGCGGGGAGCACGTCCTAGGGTTTAGGGTTTAGGGTTTAGGGTGTAGGGCTTAGGGTTTAGGGTTTAGGGTGTAGGGTTTAGGGTTTAGGGTGTAGGGTTTAGGGTTTAGGGTCTAAATGGTCTAACTCATCACTCGTCCTGAAGCAGCCTTCTCTGCTCAGGGAGTTGCAACTTCATCCGGTCGGCACATTTTCGACAGCTGACGGCCATCGATGTACAAACAACAGGCGGTCATTGCGCGAGTCGAGCATGGACCTTCTCAGCCTGCCGTATCACAGCACGTGTAGCAAGCATCTGCGATGAAGGGAATGTCCTAGTTCAGCAACATAGCGCAACATAGCGCAGCGAGAGGGTCTCGGTTTCAAAAATTCGCTTGCTCTTATGGATCTCCTTAGGAGAGTCATTAGAGATGAGAACTCTACCTGCGCGGTAGTGCCCCAAGTTTCTCAAGGGCTTCAACATGGGTCTAGGGCTTAGGGTTTAGGGTTTATCTGGGTGTTGCTAGGACTAAGACCCTGCTGCAAGGCACCACTGCACGAAATTGCTGCGAGCGGTTGTACATGCTCTGGCAATTGGTGTCCCACTGGGGGCTCTCGACCAGAATGCAACGACTCCAGAAGCAAAGCCTTAACCAATCCCAAACCCTAAACCCTAAACCCTAAACCCAAAACCCTAAACCCTAAACCCTAAACCCTAAACCCTAAGCCCTGGAACTCTGGCTTGCAAGCCGTTACTCAGAGAAAACTAGACGTGAAGGCCTTGCACGCTAGACTGGCCAGGGACAGTCCAAACATCAGGCAACTGGAGCTTTAGGGGATAGGATTGGGGGGACCCTTTTGGGGATATAGACCCTCTGAATAAAGGTCCCTGTTTAAGAGAGCCAGAAGAGGGTTAAGAAGGGCTCCCTTTTTTTAAGCGTCCCCCCTTATCCTGCCTAGGAAGCTTCAGGTGCCTGGAAGAAGAAAAACCAGAGATCTCCAGTCTAGGAGGACTGCTGTGACTCTTCTGAGCGATGTTCTTTGGAGGCATTTCTCACTCCTCTCACGGATGATCGCCGCTCTGAGCGGCCCTGGCGCACCATGTGGGACAACTTGGCACAAGGTATTCCCGAGTCGTGAAAGGACAGCTCCAAGCCAACATCTCTACAGCTCCTTCTACAAACGGAAAACCCCGCCACGAATGTTTAGGATCCAGTCTTTAGTTGTATGATCACGAAACTTGGCGGCCCCAAACCCTAAACCCTAAAACCCTAAACCACCTCCCGAGCATGAACTTCGGCCCTGACACAACACCAGGAAGGGTTTAGTAATTTCGGGTTTCGGGTTTAAGGTGCTGGGCTTACTGGGCACTTCTGTGATGATAGTGTGCGAGCATCTCATTGAGCGGGCCTCGGACGTGTAATTGGATCCTCAGGGGACGCGCGCCACCCTAAACACACTGATCTTACACACTGCTCTTCTCAACGCAAGCCCGGTATCTTCAAAAAAAACAGCTTGGCGCGATACTCTCTGTACCTCTCTCCCCTGTCTCTCAAAGGGCGCTCTGTGTCTTAAAGCTTCTTGGGTGGTGACGAGGGCGACCAGTGAGCCGAGGCTCCATCCACCCTGAGGCTTTCCGTGGATCCGCTGACCCGCGCGGCTGCATTCATGTGCCGGTACCTGCGCAAGGCCAAGTAAACTGGTCCCCCCCTCCCTCAAAAAACACACGAAAGATCCCCGAAATCCACAACTCCCTAAACTCCCCTACTGTAAACCTGAAAAGGCCATAAGTCCAGATGGTGCGGCAACCTGTGAGTCTTCTCCCTTCACTTATGCCGTGCTTAAACTCGGCATCTGCTGCCGCCGTGCTCTGAGCATCGATAGTGCCAGCTCAGCCGGCATTTGCTGATGACCCTTAAGTTTCCTTCAGAGTCTGCAGATGGGAACGGTACTCTTTGGGATGTCAAGAAGTCTTTAGATGGAGATAGCAGGGGCGGGAGGTGAGTCGCCAAAGATTGCTTTGTTGAAAAAGGGCTCTCTTATTGACAAGGGTCTCTTTACTGCTGTGACCCGGTTTGGAGAATATTGCGGCGCCAGGTTTGCTGGCATTCCATGCGCATCAAAGGCATGTGCCCACAGACCGGAAAGTCTCAACCCTAAAAGCCATGTCCTGCGGCGCCGAACTCAAAAGGCCCTGCAAGCTAGCCGCTAGCCACTCCAAGTGTAAGGCTCGAGCCCAACAAAAAACCATGAGCAGACCCGAGACCACCCCGAAGGAAGCCCAAAGCACTAAACTTCCCTAAGCGTGGGAGACCCGAAGTCTCTCCTGAGCCCTAAATTCATCAAAAAAGGCTTGAAAGGGCAGCCGTGGCCTGGCTTTGCTGAAGACTTCTCCGACGGTGTTGGAAGTACCCTCCTAGAAGAGGGTTAAGGTTTAGGACTTCTCTCGGGGATAAGGGGATAATAGGGGTTCATGCAATCCTGGCCGGATCAACAGCTAATTCGTGACCAACTAAGCAACAGCGATCCCGCCACGCTGAAATGGGCGGGGGCTCGGGCGACAAGACTGGATCATACGTCTTCCTGGCAGACATAGCATACGTATCTGACGTATCTGTACGTAGCCATTGTCTGGGAAAGCGGGCGTACGTTCATCACGGACGAAGAGTATTTTCGGGACTAAAAAAACTCCGGTGACCACAATCAGTCACACCAATGAAGATAGACCATGGGATGTCCAGCCTCTTGGTGAGGAATTTCAGGGAATGCGCTAGAGCAACGGCTGATACTCTCTCTCTCATGGACCCACGTCGACGGCATATGCGTACATTGAATGGGCTCCCCAGCCCTAAACCCTAAACCCTAAACCCTAAACTCTAAGCCCTTATGGTGTAACCGGGTTTAGGGGTTTAGGGGGTTTGCAGGTTGGCCACCGTTCCCGCAATAATGAGGTCTCGGGGTTAAAAAGGCATTCAGGGCTTGGGGGCTCTAAAGAGGTTCAGGGTTCAAGGCTTAGAGGGTTTAGGGTTTAGGGTTTAGGGTTTAGGGTTTAGGGTTTACGGGCTCAGAGTTCAGAAATCTACAGACTTTTCCCTCCCGTGGCCTGGGGAGTCAGACTCTGGATGGCGCTGAGGACCTCTTGGAAAAGCAGCTCGACCTTTGAAACGCCAGCTGCAGCTAGTTAGGGTTTAGGGTTTCGGGCTTAGGGCTTAGGGTTTTGGGTTTAGGGTTTCGGGTTTAGGGTTTCGGGTTGAATGGCAATTTTCGGAAGGTTTCCCTGTCGAGCAGCCAGAAAATAGATTGCCACGATTAGGGAGGGGGAACGTGCAGGGGAACACCTCAAAGGTTCGGGTGCAACCTGCAACAAGCGTACAAAAGACAACAGCCCAATCTTTTGCACCTGAACACCCAAAACTTCCTGAACCGTCAACGCAAAGCTTTCTTTCAAGCGCAGTGAAGCCCTCACGGGAAATACAGTAAACTCCAAAAATCTGGAACATCTTTGCCAAAAGGTATGCTCAGGGGGATTCCAGCCATAATCATCCCTCAAACAATGTTCCACCTTTGTGGAGTTGGGTTTAGGGTTTAGGGTTTAAGTTTGTAAGGGTTTAAGGGTTTAAGGGTTTAAGGGTCTAAGGGTCTAAGGGTTTAAGGGTTTAAGGGTTTAAGGGATTAGTTACTAACCATTCCTGCCTTGGTCTCGATGCGCCAGATGTCCAGCGCCTTGGCGCCTCCTCGAAGTCTCGCTGCACCTGTTTAGGGCTTAGGGCTTAGGGTTTAGGGTTTAGGGTTTAGGGTTTAGGGTTTAGGGTTTAGGGTTTAGGGTTGCTCCGCTGGGCCAGGGGGGGTTGGATTGAGGGTTCATGGGGTTTAGGGTTTGAGGGTTTGAGGGTTTGAGGGTTTGAGGGTTTAGGGTTTAGGGTTTTTGGTGCTTGAGGTTTTAGGGTTTAGGGTTGTAGGGTTTTAGGGATTAGGGATTAGGGTTTAGGGTTTGTAGTGCTTGCGGTCTTTGCATGCGCTCCAGCAGGCAAGCTCGTTTAAGGCCTTGGAGTTGGGACTCCTCCTGGGATGACGGCTTAGCGTTGTTTCAGCATTGGATGAGCACGCATGCGCCCTGCCGGAGAAGCACGAATGCGGAGTTGGAGGATGGAGCTAGCATAGGATCAAGGGTGGGCTGGTTGGGCAGGTACAAGGATGCAGGCGTCTGGCTGCAAGCCTTTGTACTCGATATCTAAGGGGAACACTTGCAATTCGCGCAGGGTCCAAGGACATCGGTGCACAGCCACTTGGGGGTCTCTAGATTGCGATCGCACATGCTGTGTCTGCAACACCGCAACCGAAAGCTCCAAATTCAAAAAACCATTAAGGCCCTCCAAAACTCTAAATTCCCGAAATCCTGAAACCCTGACCTTAGGTCACATCCTCACACTTCCGTCCTTCAGGGCTTTTGGGTTTCAGGCTTTGGGGTGTAGGTTCCGGTTTCGGCGTGGGTGTGGGCTTGCCGAGTCATCGCCTGCCTTCTATGAATTCCATCAGCGTAATCTCTCCATCGCCATTATCCAGAAACCTGGGCTTCAGGTTTGGGGGATAAAGCTCTCAGACAGAGGTTGCCAGTCCCATGAAGAAGAACCGCACATGCTGCGAGACGAGGGGTTCACTGGACGGAGGAAAACAAACCTTGTCACCGAGCTCGAGCAATTTCTTCAGCTTCCGAAGACTTAACGCGCCTTCATGGCTGAAAAACCCCAAAGACGAACCACGCCGCGCTCCCAAGCTAGCGGGCAAGCTCTGCAAGCAGCCGGGGTGGCAGTCGTCCCATGCAGATCTGTGGCCCTGTACAAGCCCTGTATTTTTCACACGGGACATACAAGCTTAGCGTTTCAACAAGTGCAAGCCTAGCACGATTGTGCAAATGCTCTGCTCAGCTATGTTCTTTGTCATGCCCAAGGGACCAGCATCGAAACCACACCCCTTGAACAGAACGCATAAAACGTGCTGTCAACTTTAGGGCAGATGTCCTTCTAGAACCGCGCCAAAGACTTTACATCAGGAGCCCAACAAACCCTAAACCCCCGAATCTGCGCATATGAACCCAAAGCCGGTGCCCCCAAAAACCTCCCAAACCCCATGAACTGTCGACCTGCTCGAATGAAGCCTAACAAAAACCATAAACCCTGTAAAAACCCGCCTGTAAACTCTATAAACTTAAGCCCCATAAGCCCTGCGAACCCGAAAAACCCTATAAAGCCCCACAAGCCCTATAAAGCCTAGCCAAGTGACTCAAAGAGCGACATGAGGTCGTGGTATTCCAGCTCTAGCTGGCTCATCCAAAACCTCGCTAGGGTTTCGGCTTATCGTGTTTAGGACCTATTTAGGGCTTGGCCTGACTTTGCAAGAGAACGGTTCCTCACAACGATACATCCGGGCAGCTTCAACATCGGGGACTTGACCAGCTTGGAGAACTCTTCGTAGTTGATGACTCCATCCCCTGATACGTCCATCGTCTGGAACAGCCTTCTGACTTTCCTCGTATACAAGGCGATGTCCTTACAGAGCAGGGCACAGCGCAAGTGTAGCAAGCCATGGTGTGGCGAGGGCAGGGGGGGCGATGGGGTGCGGGGGAGGTGGGAACAGGACCTCCTACACGCTAAACCTGAGAATCTTAGCCCAATACGTCGACCTCCAGAAAACAGAAGCACCTGATTCTGACAACCGACAAGCTAGACCGCCTCGTTGGGTTGAGGGATGCTCAGCATGAGCTTGGATGCTGACCCTACAACACCTTGCACGCCTAGACTAGACACTACACACTTTGAGTAATATGTCTAAATAAGTCTTCAGTGGCGTTGCCCGAAGTCTCAAGGTTTGGGGAGTGATGAACAAGGTTTGGGGAGTGATGAACAAAGTCTGCCACCATGCCGAGGAACCCTTTCCTTCTGCTTGAATGCAAGCTCTTCATCGGAGCTGGCCGTCTTCATCGTCTGTTGCACGAAGACAGCCGAAACCACATTTAGCACGGCATATCCAAGAACACACCTGCCGTACAGGAGCCCCCCTGCCTAAACAGACGTTTGTAGCAAAACCCTGGTCAAGTGCACTACGATTCTTACCACTGCTACATTGTTCCGCAGGGACAGTCTGCTTGCTGCCTAGTTTGCCGGCTGTTCTTGCTGCTCCCACGTGGGCCGAGGCTTTAAGCTCATTCTCATGCAGGCTTGGGTCCCTCAACTTTTGTTCAACTTTCAGACTTGTGGCTTCGTTCTGGTGTCCAGATGAGCCCAAATGGAACCGATTTTCAGGTGCGGAAACTCTTTGCAGCACTGGACGGCAAGTACCTGCCAATGCTGCTCCTTCGGCTCCTACCCGCGTCTGGGTGCCTTGGCTGCTCCTACTGCTTCTTCGTCTGCGTCTACTTCGGCATAGTCCTCATCCTCCAGCTGCTCGCACTCGTACTCGCAATAATACTAGTAGTACTAGTATAACTAGAGGGAACTACCTAGCAATGCTAAGAAATCACTCATCGCAATCATGCTACGAATACTACAAAGACTCTCATCGTGCGGGCATGGACGCTCTGGACGCCAGACGCACTGCCCTATCCCGGCTGATCAGCCCTCAAATCGGGCGGAGCTCGGTCTCCGCAGCACCAACCCTCCGTTTCAGCGAGTATCTGGGCTACTGCTTGCGCTGCCCGCCTCCTGGGCGCAGCCCCTTGAATACGTAATCACGGTCCGGGAGCCAGAAAGACGCAAATGCAAGGAGAACACGCGCTCTTGCCTTGAAACGCACAGATAAACCAGCGAAAACAAAAACCTTTCTTCTGAAAAGTGGCAGAGATGGACTCTCAAACCGAATTTTGGTATTTTTCAGCATCGGAACCCAGGAACGAAGAACACATGAGACTCCTAAACCCGAACGCTTTACATACCAAAATTCTGGCTTTAAAAACATTATGCATTACAAACATGGATCTCAACAAGCGAGATCGCAGCCCGCTTTAGCACATTTCACACGGGCGCCAAAAAAGTGCTGAAAGCAACAACAACACTCGGCAGGAAGAATCAAAAAACAACTCAACTTTGCCGTCGGATCGAGAGAGCCGTACCAGTAATACTACAAGAAATTAGAGCAATACTGCCGGCATAACTAGTAGCAGTTTCCTCTACTTCTACTACTTGTGCTGCTCCTACCTACTACTTCTACTACTGCAGCTGTTTATAGTTCTACTTGGATGTCTACTTAATCTCTTCTTGTCCTACGACTTCCACTGCCGCTGCGATATCATTACATAGCTCTTAGCTGCTTAGCTAGAACTGCCTACGCATTTGATGGCCCAGCCTTCGTTCATTAGTGTTTCTTTCGCCCCAACCCGCCTGTACAGGAGGAAATAGATGGAAAACCATTCGCTGATGTTCCTGCAAGGACGGACATATGACTTCAGGTATCTTGAAACCTGGAGAACAATGTGCATGAAGAGCCCGACATGAGACAAAGTATTGCTGTCGCAGCAGAGGCACTCAACCAGCACTCTGCACGGTGGGCTCCAATTTGCAAACAACAGCTCAAACATAGACAGAAAGGTCCGGCTGAATGTGCCTGAGAGGGTGCACGCCGAAATTTCGGTGGCAATAAAAGACCAGCCCTCCCTCGCAGTAAAGCCTCCCCAAGTGTTCTCAACTCACTCCCCTGTGTATTCTGGGACATCCCTGAAACTGTCATGTCCTGAAGATAAGGGTCGTAGATGGCACAACCGACAATCAACTGCCGCCCCAGCAACTTCTCACCCCCGCTTCTCCTGATAAAATGGAGACTGTCGGCCAACACATTCAACAAACTTCTCGTTGACACCCTTGAGCTTGGAACTGCGAACGAACTGGGCTGATGCCCCTACAAGGAATGCAGCGGCAAGAAACCTAAATACCTTCGCGCATTGAGCAGGGAAGCATGGACTGGGTAGTGGCATGCAGGCAGACATCCAAGGCTGGCGTACGAGCTGCGAGATGTGCTCAGCACTGACACACAAGGCTTAGTGTTGAGCTTGTTTTGACAATACCCCCCCCCCCCCCACCCCCCCAAGATTTGTTCCGGCGCCGGGTCTGAACAAAAGTTTTGCCGGACAGGGGGCAATAATCAACCTGGAGGGTGGGGGTGTTTGGGGCCTCTTCTGACTGTTTCTTCTGCCATTTTCTGGGCCTCTTCTTGAACCTTGACACGCATCTTGCATGCGCAACCCTAAGCCCTAAACCAAGAAGCCGTCTGATTCAATGGCAGGAAGTTTCGTAATAACGCCCTTTAGTATCTAGATCAGCAGGCCTCGTAAGAGGTAGGAGTCGTTTTGGGAAAGTTTGTGAGTGGTTTAGGGTTTTTGCCTTACCCCTAAACCTAAACCCTAAACCCTAGAACCCGAAACTCCTAAACCCTAAACCCTAAACCTCTGCTCGATTGCAAAGAGGCTCGCAGCAAGACCACTTGAACAAGCTGTGCGATATTTTCCGGAGTTCATTTCTCTTTTTAGCGCCCACGGTTTTGTGCTAACCCGAGTATTAGAAACGACCTCAACATTAATTACTGCTCCCGACATCACTAGCCTCACAAGCATCTGCAGTATACAATCCCTGTCAAGGTTCGTTGGATGTTCAGTTCTAGGTCCAACTCCTCACAAAGACACGCCGCGCAGGCGTCCACGCACGCACGCAACAAGGCGACATGCTTCGGAGGCCAAGGAAAGGGGTAGCCAGGTGCTGAAAAACAACCCATCATCAAGTTCTATGGTGCACCTGATCATTCTCAGAAGCATGATGGATGTGCAGGTGGCGCGCCGGGCGACGAAGTTTATGTCAAAAAGAGCACAGTGCGCAAGCTCATAGCAGGGCAACACTTCAAGAGAGTAGGCCAAGAACCCAGCTACCTCTGCATCGACAAGGCTCTGATCAAACGGTGCTATTGTGCCAGGCAGCCGTAGTACCGGAAGACATCCTCGCGCACTTGCAAAGGCTGGTTTTCGTCGTTGATGAAGTCGCGACACAGTGTATTGGCCACCATTCCCGAAACGCACTGGAAGAATGCAATCAGGCAAAATGTCCAGAACAAGATGTTCGTGCTGGCTGCAAGGCATCGAATGAGCAAGTGCAGCGAAGCCAGCACGCTGTTCATGGTGATCATGCGGATTGCTCTGGCCAACTTCCCAATCCGCAATAAACGGAATAGGATAGGATTCACCGCCAAGTTGGCACTTGCGACATAGAAGAGCACGATTTCTAAGAGTGATGTTCCGGAAACCGCAATGTCAATGTAGTTCATGGGCACCACCCAGAATTTACATCGCAGAATGGAAATGCGGACAAGAACATCCAGCACAAAAAAGGCAGTGAAGACGAAGTCACCAATCCTGAGCTCAACATGCTTTGGCTTAGGGGGCCCTGTTCGCCGACACTAGCCTTAACGGGGTGCGTGCTGTCACAGGATATGCCTGTATCTGGGCCCCTGCATCTGCAAAACGCCATCGACAAAACGGGAACATCAGGGACGTCGCCCTCAACCCGGTTCTTCAGCAGCTCTAATCCTGGAAACCAGAACTCGCGATGCAGCCGGAGGCACGCAAACACCAGTTCCCAAGTGTTCCAGGCATCATCAGAGACAACCACCGTCGGAAAGACGCCGATGGTATGACCGGAACGGTAGCCATCCACCTGCACACATTCGAGAGCTCTTTCGAGGCAATAGTTCCCCCAAGACCCGACCCGGCATCTCCTCCTAGCCCTGTCGAACTTTCGTCTCCTTCACTGCTTCACTCGCTTGGGCCCTAGCACCACCGCAGATTCCGGAACCTTCAGGTGGGGGGAGGAAGCACCGAAACCCGAATCCTGCAAACCCAAATCCCGAAATCCCACAAGCCGCAAGCACTGAGATCGTGGAAATGCCTGGGCTTCCAGGGCCATCCACAGGACGTTCAAGCCTGGGCTTTCAGACACCCCTTCCTGGACTCGGAGAATGGACCTTTTTTTTTTGGGGGGGGGGGGGGGGTACAGTACCTGGAGGCGCCTGGCGAAGCCGTGGCATTCATGGTATGGTGTAGTCGTGCCCATGTATTGCTACGAACTAAGGGCTTGGGAATCAAAGCTAACGATCAAGCAAGTGACACAGCACGGCGGCGATTACCATCTCGTACTGAGCTGACTCAAACCATTCTCCGAGCCTTTCCAGCCGCGACATCCGGGCGATGCGTGCTTGGAGCTCCGATGCCGTCTCAATGGGCTTCATGAGAAGGTCAAGATCGTCATCGTCACCCAGCATGGTAGTGTACTGCGCCATGTATGCATTCAGCCGACGGTCGCCGTCGTCCTGTGAGGGGCAAGCTTCGTGAGGCCATGGCACACACTCTGTAGGCCACTAGGCAAAGCACACAAGCAACTAAAGGAGACTAGCCCTAAACCCTAAACCCCAAACCCTAAACGCTGCTCTTTGTCCGAGCGTCTGAGCTCAAGGCATGCAGAAGCTTATTGGCATCGAGGTGCGGGTGCTCGCGGTGAGGCTTCCCAGAATCTGTCTCGGAACCTTGCCAACTGCAGATCTTTGAACCTCCCTGCCGTCTATGTCTTGAAAGCTATAGGGGCTCTAAACCCGAAACCCTAGACACTAGACCCGAAACACTAAACCCGAAACCCGAAACCCTAAACCCTAAACTACAAGATAACCGACCGATCCGAGCCGCTGCTGAACTCATTCCTAACGCGCATCCTGCTGTTGGCTCGTTCCGGGAGTCCCTCGGGAATCCTCAACGTCACCTGTGCAAAGATCGCAGGTTTAGGGCTGAAGGCTTAGGGTTTAGGGTTTTACGGTTTGGGGTTTGGGTTCAGGGTTTTGGGTTTAGGGCTTAGGGTTTAGGGAGGTTTAGGGCTTGGGGGTCGTGGGGGCGGGAGGCGGTTTCAGGTTTTGGGAGAGGGTTCGAGGGATCGGGGATCTGTTGGAAACGCCCTCGGGTGCTGCAGCAAGCCCGCCCTCGGCCCTAAGCACGCCCCCGACTGTTGGGACTCTGAGTTGTCCTCTTGAGCTGAGCTCTCAGTTTGCTATGGTCACCCTAAACCCTAAACCCTAAACCCTAAACCCTAAACCCTAAACCCTAAACCCTAAACCCTAAACCCTAAACTCCTACTGGGGTAGGCGGGCGCAGTCGAGCGCTCAGCGAGACCATGGCAGGCTCAGAGCTTGCCCGCCGCACCCCTGAGAGGTCGCCAAGCTTGGTCACCAAGCATAGTCACTGCAGATGTTTTTAATTATACCCTAAAACCCTGAAAGGGTCTCCCCGTCTTTTGTTTTGGGGCTGGCCTCAACGGAGCGTCTGGGGGTGACCCGAGCTTTTCTGCTCGCGCGAGGTGGCCTTGAACCCTTCCAGTAGGCAGGGGGACCTTAAACCCTCCCAGTACGCAGGGGGGCCTAACCCTTCCAGTACCATCCCAGTAAGTGGGGGGGAGTCTTAAACCCTTTAAGCAGCGGACCCAAGCGACCCTCAATTTGCAACCTATTCACGCCTGAGTCTTCTATGAGAGGGCCCTTCGGCCCAGACCTGGCCTTGGGCTGGGCATGTCTTCACACTATTCTATTGCGTTCAGCCCTAAACCCTAAACCCTATGAACCCTAAACCCTCTAAACCCTGTAAACCCTAAACCCTACGAACCCCAAACCCTAAACCCTATACACCCGAAACCCTATACACCCTAAACTCTATAAACCCTAAGCCCTAAACCCTATAATCCCTGTACTACACCCTAAACCCTATAAACCCTGAACCCTATAAACCCTCCTATAAACCCTAAACCCTATAAACCCTGAACCCTATCAACCCTAAACCCTATAAACCCTCAACCCTATGAACCCTAAACCCTATAAACCCTACAAACCCTAAACCCTATAAACCCTAAACCCTATAAACCCTAAGCCCTAAACCCTCTATACCCTATAAACCCTAAACCCGATGAACCCTAAACCCGATGAACCCTAAACCCTATGAACCCTAAACCCTAAAAACCCTAAACCCTAAAAAGCCTAAACCCTAAAGCCTAGGCCCTGAACCCTAACCCTAAACCCGATAAACCCTAAACCCTAAACAAGACAAACCCCAAACCCTAAAACCCCTATAATTAAACCGGATAAGCCCTATAAACCCTACAAAGCCCAAACCCTAACACCTGAAGGAGCCCCTGGGGCCTGATGAGGCTTCGCCCCGCGCGCTTGTTCGACCTCTTGGCAGTGCTGCCTCAGGAGCATCTGGTGTGTGGATCCAGGACTCCAAATCCAACAAGTTTAGGGTTTGGGGTTTGGGGTTTGGGGTTTAGGGTTTAGGGTTTGGGGTTTAGGGTTTAGGGTTTAGGGTTTGGGGTTTGGGGTTTGGGGTCTAGGGTTTAGGAAGCAAGCCCTAGAATCATGGACCCCAAGCCCTAAATGCCCCTTCTTGCAAGCCCAGTTGCTGCACAAGCTTGTCAACCAGCATCAGGAAAGCGTGAGACGCCTCTCCCGCTTCCTGCGAAGCCTTCATCATGGACAGCACCATGAGTTCGGGCTTCGGAGGGTTTAGGAACCAAGCATTCTTAACTAGTATAAGTATTGATATTACTTCTCATTATGCCAAGTCCTACATGCTGTCTTTCCTAGAGTTGCTGTGTTACAGCTGTTTACCCAAATCCGTAAACGCGAAAACACCCCAAGGGCGAGGGCTCAAAAGGATGCTAGCCTTGCGCAGGCCTGCGTGCTCCAGGACCCCAGAACCCAGAATCCAAGCTGCTCTTTGAACCAATTGGGTTCAGGGTTTAGGGTTTAGGGTCTAGGGTGTAAGGGCTTAGTGCTTGAGGGTTCATGGTTTAAGGGGTCCCGAAACCCAAACAACACATGAGCGATGATAAAAACCCCCGGTATTGAAAAGTAAAGAGAAGCGCCCCGAGATGATCAGATGTGCGTTTTGCTCGAGAAAATTAAAAGAGTAAACAGGAACGATAACGTTCAGAATAGTGCTAAAACTCGAGAAAACAATAAAGAGTAAGCAAGAACGATAACGTAATTCAGGGATATCTTCCGGGATAGGGGCGGTTTTCACGTATCCTCACATGGCAACCCACACGCTGGCAGCCAAGGCGCGCCATTGAGTCTTCCACTGGGGTCTGTCTCCAGTCGCACATCATCCCAGGGTGGGGAAACCTCACGGGGGTTTAGGGTTTAGGGTTTAGGGTTTGGGGTTTAGGGTGTAGGGTTTAGGGTTTAGGGTTTAGGGTGCTAGGGCCTGCTAGGGCCCTGGGTCTAGTGCTTCGAACGACAGGGTTCAGGGTCTATAGGCTTTGAGGTTCCAGGTTCCTGACAAAGTATTCCCCACGTCTGATATGCAACGACCTCGGCATAACACGAACAAGAGCCCACGCACGAAATGAAGGAATAAGCTGACAGCGAACACCTTGCAAGACAAGATAAAACAGAAGCGGATGATATGTGTGGCCCAATGAACGAAAGAGACATGCTTCACAGCTTGGCGAAGGCTTCTTCGTCAGTGGCTGCAGGCACCCAATGCCCACTAAACCCTATAAACCTATAAACCCCACACCCTAAACCCCGAAATTTCGTCTACAGCGGCCCAGAACGATACGGATTCGACCAAAGGGAAGCAAAACACCCTGCAAGGGGTGAGGTTGGGGGTTTAGGGTTTAGGGCTTAGGGCGTCTTGGCGCGCGGCGGCAGTAGATACGATGTGGAAATGGCGCCCCAAAACACCCAGGGGGTGTGGGGGCGGCATGTCACGCGAAGGCATTTGTTTCAACGCAGTCCAGCAGTTTTCATTGGTGCTGGTTCCTTTCTCCCACCCGCTGCAAGCTTTCACAGGCCACCACCCAAACCACTGCCTTTTCGGGTTTGGGGCTGTCGCCCTCAATGCCCACCATTGTGCGTCAGAGCACCAGAAAAAACGGGATTCTGGAAGGGGTGCCCCTCCAGGGCAGAGCCCAAATTTCAGGATGTTCGGGCCGACGTCCAGCGGGTCTCGGGAGCCCTTGGCGAGGCGAGCCCTAGCAGCTCTCTATTCGACCACTCTCCAATGGCTCCACCCATTGTCCATCCAGTGAAGGTGTCCATCACTGCCGGATATGTTCTGGGTCCAGGCACGCTAGAAAAGGGTGGGTACGGCTTAAGCAGGCCGGGTGGGAATTTAGGGTTTAGGCTTGAGGCTTGAGGGTTTAGGGTGACTTCTCCAGCCAAGGTCACACCAATATCTTTGTCATCATCAGGCGGACGGGCTCCGGCATAATTTGGAGGGCGCACGATGCCGGCCATCATTCAGGAAGGTCAAGTTCTGAGTGGTTCTGAGCCTTTCCAACTCCTGTAGGGAATTCTGAGTCCATGTTGCCTAGCACGATACGCTCTCCAGCACAACTGTTCAAACTATGAGGATGTCAGTCTATGTGCAAGACAGCTCAAAGATGGCTGCCTCTCTGCTGCAACTCCCTTCCGTCTGAGCCTTAGGAAGCCGAGGAAACACGTACAAGCTCAACATCGCCTCACAGTGATGAAACAACCAAACAGAAAGCCATCCAGCAAACTGTCAGAGAATTGGGAATGGCCAAAATGTTCTCAAGGTCAGCTTGAATCAGCTCGAAACTCACCAAACAGGGATCTAGAAAATCAAGACATTCTGCATTTTTTGCATGGCGCCTTGAGGTCCCGAGGGAGCCAGCTTGCTTTGCAAGGGCCAGCGTACCCTCTCATGTTCCATGGTCCATGCAGGCTTGTAGTTGTAGAGACACCAAGAAACGGTCGGCGAATGTATTCGCGCGCTTTCGTACCGCTGTTGCGGCTGTACTCTTATGCGCCATCTAGGTGGTTCGTCGCTATACCCGATCAGCAGCAAGAAATCTCCTTGCTGCTTGCACCTGCACGACCCACTCGAACCATGAAACGGAAATGGCCTCCAGTAAATATCTTGACATGCTCCTGCCACCTTCCTCCTACCAACATCCTGCTGCGGCTCCCATACAGTAGATCCTAGCATGATGGAACCACAGACTCTAAAGTACTGTTGAGCCATGGTTCTCACAGGGGTCATTGATGACATAGAGTGTTCCTGCAGGTGAAGGAAAGAGGCTTTTCCCCTCCAGACAGGCATGAAAATCACTGACTATTGCCAGGCTTCCGTCACGCGGACTTAGGGGTCTGAGGGGCTTGCGCCCCCAGCCCCAACCCCAAAAACCACTCTTGGTGAAACTGCCACTGGCCTTAGGGGTATCTGGCGTTTGTCGTTACAACTTTGCTGTAGGAAGCCGGAAACGAGCAAACGCATTTTTGTGCATCTGCCGGGTACTTCGGATGCTGGAAACATGCCAGCAGCTAGTAGACTTCTGCCGGTTCTTATCACTGCTTCCTGATGCCACAACTCCCGAATTCAGCTGCCTCAAAGGATGACGTGGTGGAATGGACTGAACTCCGTCAACCCTGGATCGCTAAACCAACTCACCACCAAGAGCATCTGAAGAACCCCCACCACACCCCAAACCATCGTGCCGCAAAGTCGCGGAGTCCTGGACGCACCGCTGGACGTCTCCTCAAGATCCAGGTGGCTGCACCGGATTGGGGCAAGTCACCAAGTCAATCAGGGGTTGAGCATGATTTCGGATGAGGTCGAAGAGGCAAGGCGCGGGAAAAGATCGGGAAGGTGGGCCGCTCAATGCCCTCACTGCTGGTGCAGGCGAGGAGCAAAGGATCTCGCTCCCAGCTTTGGAGTTTGTGGTGGTTTCTCCGCCTTCTCCTTCGCCTTCGGCTTCGATCTTCGTCGTCTTGATATGTCTGAACCTTTGCTCAGGTGGACAGGCATCAAATGGAGATTTGACCTGATTCGCCCCACAATCCTCTCGGCCTCTTGCTCAGACAAGCTAGTAGTCAGCCCAATGAAATCGAAATCCCAAACCCGGCCAACATTGCCAACGCCCTAGCCCTCATGAAGGGGGAAGGCTTTTGGGCATTTTGCCAACGTTCTGACAGCTGCATCACAACAAAGTGTATGGAACCTCTGCTGTGTGAAAAGCGCATGACATCTTTTCATGTCACATCAAAACTCCACTGCATCGAACGACACCTGTGTGACGACCGAGGTCATCACCGAAATCTCACCTACATGACGTAGCATTTCTACGGCGGTTTACGAAAATAAAAAAACCCCTCTTATAGACAAAGAGCAGGGTTCCCTTATAATAAGGACCCCAATACGGTACCCCGAATTTCGGAAAGACCCATATGCTCCTAAGATCCAGTGCGTGCCCAGTCACGTTGACTTCTGAAAGACTTCCTTGGTCGTGATCTGCTGGAAGGATTACCCAGCGTTCTAGTACCCCTCAAGGCTCAATGGTCTCCGGGTCTGGGGCGCTGCCCCCGCCTGGTTGCCTGTTCCCCCTTGTTATCCCCAACCCCCCATGCTCCCCGCTGCGAGGCTTGAGGCTCTGGAGTTGATTGCTCTTCGCTCAAACATTCGGATCCCCTCACCCCAACCCACCGAACCCCAAGCAGAAATCCCCTCAAGCACCCGAAGCCCACCAACCCACACCCCCTCCCCCCCTCACCCTTCACCCTTCTCCAACTCCAAAACCTGCCGTCACGCAGCTTGGACTGAGAGTGGCATGACTTTGCCGGAGGTTGCATGTAGCGCCTTTAACACTTCCTCGAAAAGCACCTGCGCTGAGAATTCAGGGTTTCTTGTACCTTGGGGCTGACGCTTGAGTCTTTCGGTAAATTGGGGGGGGGGGTTTAAACAAAGCTGGTGGGTTAAAAAGAAGTCCCATTCTTGGGACACTTTGAAAGCTTTGTATTCAAGGAGGATGGCGTTGGGGCTGTCTCCTGTCAGATCTACAGTTGCCCTTGTCATGTTGGGGGGGGGGCGGTTGAATGCTGGGGGGAACGGAACTACCCCACACCCAACATGCCTCCAGTTTCGTCTCGATGCGCCAGATGTCTAGCGCCTTGGCTCCTCCCCGCAGGCGTGCTGCGCCTCTGCCAAGTGGGGGTTTACGAAAACAAGGGACCCAGTAGAGTCCTCAAAGAGTAGGATTCCCTTATAAGCAGGTACCCCTAATTTCGGAAAGCCCCAAATGAAAGTGAGTCTCCGGCTTTCGGCCTACGAACGCTTCGGAAGTGTAGGCTCATACAGACGATGCTCGACAGCAACTTCTGTCCAGTCGTCCTTGTGAACAATACAGCGAAAAAAGCGGAAACTGAGAACAAGACTCTGTGGCCAAGCTGGTTCGCTTCTGCTTGGGGTTCTCTTACTGGAAGTTCATGTTAGGGTCTTGGGGATGTTTAAGGTGTTGAGTTTTCGCACTGCTTGTGGGACTGTAATTCAGGATGTGCAGGTTGTCACTTCAATACCCCAAAAGCCCGACGACGGTTGCAGGAAATCGCCATTGTCGACCTTTGACGTTGACAGTCACATACTTTTTGCAACTCATGCAAGTGCAGATTCTTTGCAGCCGTTCTTGCATGTCTCACGGTTTTGTCGATCAAGCATCACCAGCACTCCCTCCGCTGATCAGCCTTCTATGAACTCCATCAAGGTAATTTCGCCGTCGCCATTGTCCAAAAACCTGTGCATGAAAGTCAAACAAGGTACAGACAGGAATCTTGTTTATATCATTCTATCTCATCGATATGGTCAGATCTCGGTCTATGTGACGGGCGGCTCAAACAGGCTCAGCAAGTCGTGATATTCCAGCTCAAGCTGGCTCATCCAAAACCTCAGGCTCAGGGGAAGCTGCCAATACGCTTCTCAATAGGAAAACCGTACGAAATCGAGGCCGACGGCTTCTTGTTGTTCACTTCCTAGTACAGTTTTCGGTGCGACATGGGGCGAACGCCTGCAGATTGCGTCTGTCCCAAAGCTCCATTCCAGGAAGTGTGAGCAGGGCGATCGGAATAGTTACCAATAGTATCCCCTTATGGTCCCTTTGTAGTAAGACTATACTTACCCCCAAAGGCCTGTTCTAATTATTCAGGCCCCCCATATTGAACATGCGTGTCGCCTCAAAGAGCAGACAGGAGCTTGCTAGGATATGTTGGGAACGCATGCTGACATGTCCGATTAGTTGGGATGTTCCCCCTTCTACGAACAGTCTCTAATAGGGATGATCATCGGGGTACGATAATCCCTATTAATGACTGTCAGTAAAAGGGGGAACATCCCAATTTTGGCGCTTGGCAACCGAAGCCCTAAGCCTTATCCTTACACTGCAAACTGTCATTACCACCCTAGACCCTAAACCCTAAACCCTAATGTTGGACCTGGTTTAGTGGGGGCCTCCGCTATTAAGTCGATTTGGGTGAGTTATTCAGGACACACTGACTGTTTGGGAGTCCCTGTTTAAAGTCACATCGTCCGGGCGCGGTAAGAAAATTCCACACCTTTAAAAAAGATTGCCGGGCATCGCTGCCCCTTTTGAACTTATCTAAACTCCTCCCTATTAAAACCATATAAAAACCCCCCGGGGCCGTCTAAACAGAGCAAATTCCAGCCTCGACTGGGGGGGGGGGGGGGGGGGGGGTGGGGGGGGTGGGGGGGGGGGTGGGGGGGGTGGGTGGGGGGGGGGGGGGGGGTGGGGGTGGGGGGGGGTGGGGGGGGTGGGGGGGTGGGGGGGGGGGGTGGGGGGTGGGGGGGGGGGGGGGTGGGGGGGGTGGGGGGGGGGCTAAACCCCAAGTCCCGGCCACTTCAACTTCGGAGATTGGACGAGCTTGGAGAATTCCTGGCACAGGCGCAGCAGTGGCAGCTGTGGCAACCCCGAGATTGGAACCCCGCACCCCTACTGTTAGAGTTTAGGGGTTTAGGCGGTTAGGGTTTCAGAGGTCTAGTAGAGGGTTTGTAGGGATAAATCCCCCTTGAAGCCGCAGGAAAAAGCCTTGAAGCCCTAAATGCCCTAAACCCGATACCCTTAACCCGACGCCCGAAACCCTAAACGGTATAAATTTTTTATATGCCCTAAACCCTAAACCCTAAACCCTAAACCGTAAACCCTAAACCCTAAACCCCAAAAAAGCCGAAACAGCCAGTTGAACTGACTGTTGCCTCCAAGTTAAGCGTGCCATCTCCAGAGTCGTCAATGGTCTGGAACAGACGCTTCACTTTCCTCCACCAGCCAGGGTTTAGGGTTTAGGGTTTAGGGTTTGGGGTTTGGGGTTTGGGGTTTGGGGTTTGGGGTTTGGGGTTTGGGGTTTGGGGTTTGGGGTTTGGGGTTTGGGGTTTGGGGCTTGGGGCTTGGGGCTTGGGGTTTGGGGTTTGGGGTTAAGGGTTAAGGGTTTCGGGTTTAGCGCTTTAGGGTTTAGGGTAGATTGTTTGGGGTTTAGCTTTGGTTCAGGGATTATTTCGAGCTCAGGGGGTTTCTTCTTGATTCCTGTCTCCGGGTTTAGTTTTGGGGAGTCAGTCTGTAGGGCTCCGGGTTTCCGACGATTCTCCGAGGACTCAGAGGTCAGCAGGGAATAGAAGGACTGCTTTGAAACTTACCCTCAACCCTCAACCCTAATTCCTAAACCCTCAACCCTCAACCCTCAACCCTCAACCCTCAACCCTCAACCCTCAACCCTCAACCCTCAACCCCTAACCCTGAAGACTCAAGCATGTCAGGCCCTCAAATTCTCGCAGGCGCACCATCAGAAACGGCAACGAGACCCGTCCTCGTGTACATCTGTGCATCCTGGGCATTTGGGCCCCTAGACCCTAAACCCTAAACCCCAATCCCCAAACCCTAAACCCTAAACCCCACCGCACATGGAAGCAACATTGCTCGCGAAACATGCGCAAATGAAGTCCTATTCCTGCACACAAGTCCCTAAACCTTTATAAGTGTGAGAAATGTCCAGGGTTCCTGTACTCACAAGCAGATAGCAGAGAGCCGCCAGCACCCCGGAACGAAACGGTGGCGGTGACACCACGAGATCATGCTCAACATTTGGCTGTTCAATGCGTGCAAGTTCGGGTTCAGGGCATGCTAGGCCACTACTACTGCAAAGTGTGAATCCCCTCCTAAACCCTAAACCCTAAAGCCTAAAGCCTATTTGCCCCCCAAGGGTCTTTCTCTTTCTGTTTGAAGGCAAGCTCTTCGTCAGATCCCGCCGTCTTCATGGTCTGCTGCACGAAAACCTTGGCTTGCAAGAGCACCATGCTTAGGCTTTAGGGTTTTGGGGGTTTTCACTGTTGATTTTTCTTTCACAATAGCAGCCTACAATCCAAAATTCGAGCTGAGCTAGCAAATCTCTCCAATAGCAGACAAAATGTTGATGTCACGGAAGTGAGGAACCGCATTCACAACATTCAAGACCGCGAAGCCCAAAACGCACCTCACCGCACCGATGTCGAATTTGATGTCGGGGGTTGCTGAGCATGTTCCCAAAACCCTCAACCCTCAACCCTCAACCCTAAACCCTAAACCCTAAACGATACAGCGTCTGCTTGCTCAAGCCCTGACAGTTGGGCTCTCGCAACATGGAACCCTCTGTCTGTGCACGTGCCTGTATAGGAGAAAGAAGATAGAAAACCATTCGCCTCAGCTCCAGTATGCTAAGCGCGACAGCGGCAGCTGCAAGCAAAACTTTGCGTGTCATGCGGTCACGACAACAAGGACATGAATTGAGCTTTGACACTGAAGTTCTCCACAAGCACTCTGCAAGCAGGTCCCCAGTTGGCAAACAAAATTTCAAACATCGTCAGGAAGGTTCGAGTGAATGTGCCGTAGTATCGGAAAACGGCTTCTCTCAATGCCACGTCATAAGCCTCGTCCTCGAAGAAGTCCCGGCAAAGTGTGCTGACAATGAGACCCGCAACGCATTGGACGAACGTTAACAGGCAGAAGCTCCAGAATAGCATGTTGCTGCTGGAGGCCAAGCACCTGATTGTACGGGTTGCGTGTTTGGTTCCGTCCCAGCGCAACGGCTAGCACATCATGGCCCATGAAATGCACCCACAACATTCTGCTGCAACAAGTGTTAACAGTCCAACTGTTCTCGCACCACTTCCACACTAGCTGTTGACACCTCCTTGATCGAACCAGCCCCAACACGGATAAAGCTTGTGTCCAACAAGCCAACTCACAAAGATGCACCAAGCATCACAGCTGAATTATAGAACTGGTAGAAATTGTAGGCGCGGCGGCGCCGTGCAAAAACGCGGTGTGTTTGCTTTTCATTGGTGTGTTGCACTGGATGCATCACTGCTTTCCAGCACGGTACTAGGCATTTCTACGCCACCACCGGTCATCAGAACCCTAAACCCTAAATCCTAAACCCTACAACCCAATTGAGTGCAGCATCGAAGATCAGAACGTGCTGCGAAGGAAGAGCTGACTCGCCAAATGTGAACTGTCGTCGCTTTCGGACTTCTGGGCTCACATGGTCTCACTGTTTAGTCTAACTGCCACATAGCTCCACAGAAAAATCCCACGTTGCAAAGGCTGAAGAGCGGGGGTGGGGTGTTTAGGGTTTAGGCAGCCTACATAATTATCGAATACACGAAGGCGCTTCACCAAGAGCTGAAGGGATCCCAGCACGCTCGTCATGTTGATCATGCGGATGGCGCGCGCTAGCTTGCCCAACCGGAGCAGGCGAAACAGGATGGGGTTCACGGGCAGCTTCATCGTGTAGAGAACTGCCACTTCCGCCACATTTGTTACGCTCACTCCGACATCCACATAGTTCATGAACTGGCCCCAAAACTTTGATCTCAAGACGCAGATGCGCACGATGACGTCGAGCACGAAGACGCCCGTAAACAAAAGATCGCCGATCGTCAGCACGCTCTCCCATGTGGGTATCTCCTCGGGCGAGGGCGACTCTGGAAAGACGTTGAGGTTGTAGCCAGAGATGGAACCAAAGAATTGCAGGTCCATAGCCATCCAGAGCACGTTAAAGCACAGGATGATGGCCATAATGGACTCGTAGCGGTTGGACTGTAGGATGAGCTGCCATTTCTCGAGCTGCGACATCTTCTTGTAGCGGGCCAGAAACTCAGAAGGGGTCTCAGTGGCGAAGTACTCCGACTTGCCTGTGGGAGCTGACACGCATTTGAGGGGCTACGATGTGTAGGTAGAAACAAAACTTTCCATATGGGGGCTTACGAAAAGAAGGGACCCCGAAGATAGACCCCAACATAGTAGGATTCCATGATTCCCTTTACACTAAGGACCCCAGATAAGGTACCCCAAATATCTCTTAACCCCCTATGAGAGCGTCTGCAAAAATTCGAAAACCGAAGGACCGGTCTTGATATACTCCATGTTGGCTTCGGCGTACAAGGAGTTGACGAAGTGCGGCGGTGAGTCGGAGTCCTCCTCCTGCTGGGTGGCCTGGGACTCAAGCTTCTGCAGGATGTCTCTGGCCTGCACTTGGGCTGCTTTCCTGAGCATGGGGGCAGAACTTCGAGTTTTCAGGGGGGTTTAGGGTTTAGAAGTTGAGCAGGGTCGGAGTGGTGAGAAGAAAGGATCTCCGGTGCAAAGTGCAGGCAAAGACTCCTCGATGCTGCCACAGAGGAGCAGTCCGAGCTGGCACTCTGGGCACTCTTGTTGAAAGACTCACTACTGGGCTGCCGCTTGGTATGAAGAGTGGGCGGCATCCAGAGATCCTTCCGCCGGGGGGGATTCCGGGCAATATCTGATACCGAGGCCGCTGTGATCTACACCTGCCCGTCACAAGCTGGAAAATGCATGGGAAACCTGCTATTCTTACGACCATTATTATTAGCAATATTAGTATTCTGATTATTATTATTAGTATTATTATTATTAGTAGTATTGTGCTTACTACTATTATTATGAGGATGATGATGATTATGATTATTATTGTTGTTAGGCCACCAGGTTGCTTGAAGGGCCTGAAAAACATCAGCACCCGTGACTATGGAGCTTTCACCTGCGAACAAACACAAAAATCACAACAAAATAATGCCAATAATAATCATAATCAGAATAATAATCAAAATAATAATGATAACCATCATTATCAGAATCATAATCATAGTAATAATACTGTGGAAAATCACAAAAACGCCAATCAACTTCTGCCAATCAAACAAAGGATATCACTTGCGACTGCAGGGTAGTAGGTTTAGGGGTTAGGGGCTTTGAGGTTTTTGGCATTGAGGCTTTAGGGGCTGAGTAGGGTCTAAGGTGGTTCAAGGCTTCAAGGTTAGGTTTCGGCATTTTGGGAGCAACTAACGACGCCAGGGATCAGCGGCGAATGAAAAGCCAGCAACGTATGTTACGTCTGGAGTTTCGGGTTTAGGGTTCGGGTTTAGGGATTACGGTTTAGGGCATAGGGAGTGAGGTGGGGGTTATGAACAAATGTCACAAGCTCAGGGTTTGCATGTCATGGCTAAGTCGTGCGCATCGTTGAGGAGGCACGGTCTGCGCAAGAACCTGTTGACAAGAACTACATGAAACGAAACACAGGCCAGTCAGCAACTGGTATGAAGAGGCAACGGAGAACCATACCCCAACAGCTGACCTCTGAATTCCCGATTCCTCCAGGAACCCTTCAAAATTATGGTGGTAGGGGGAGAACTCTGGAAAGCCCTTGCAACTTCGCTGAACTCCTTTGTGGAAAGGCTTAGGAAACCCTTGCAACGAAGCTTGGAACCTCCCAAACCCCAAGCCCTAAACCCTAAACCCGAACCCCTAAAGCCTGAACCCTAAACCCTAAACCGTAAACCCTAAACCCTAAACCCTAAACCCTAAACCCTAAACCCTAAACCCTAAACCCTAAACCCTAAACCCTAAACATCCAACTCCTCGTCTTTGGGCCGTGAGAGAGGGCTACGGGGAGCGAGTTGTGGACTGCGATGATGCTTCGCGGCTGCCATCCTCGGCGATGGCTCAATGGCTCAGGTTTAGGGTTTAGGGTTTAGTTTAGGGTTTAGGGTTTAGGGTTTAGGGTTTAGGGTTTAGGGTTTAGGGTTTAGGGTTTAGGGTTTAGGGCTTAGGGCTTAGGGTTTAGGGTTTAGGGCTTAGGGCTTCTGAGAAGGGCGCTTGGAGAGGCAAGACGGGAGTTCGAGGTCAAAGTTGGAACTAAAGTCATCGAACCCGAAGCCCTTTGCAAAGCCTATTGGGGTTTGGGGTTTGGGGTTTAGGGTTTAGGGTTTAGGGTTTAGGGTTTAGAGCTTGGGGTATTTTGGAGTTCGGGGTGCAGGTGGCATTGGGGGACCCCTACCACCCTCCCGCCCCCCAAGGCACCCTCAAATTGATAGGTGCCTTTTTTCTTTTTCCGACAAGGAGTGTGCTTCATGCTGAAGACGTCCAGGGTGCCCTCCAAGACATGGACGTTCTTGTCCAAGGCTTTTTGCCGTACCACTGGCGGTGGCAAGTGCCAATGTGCAAAACTGACATCCAAAGCAAGCCCCCCAAGATGTGCGACGCATGGAGGTCGGACCCCCAAACCGAGCCAAAGCAGCTCATGTGAAAACAAAACCTGCTGAAGTCCGAGGAGCTCGATAGCCCTAAACCCTAAACCCTAAACCACAGAAGCCCTCTCATTTTAAATTTTGCAGGTCAGGCGTCTCACGAAGATGCTGCTGCACGAGCTGGTTGACCAGCGCCTGAAAGTCCTGACAACGGGTTTAGGGTTGAGGGCTCAGGGTGTGGGGTTTGGGGTTTAGGGTTTGGGGTTTAGGGTTTGGGGTTTAGGGTTTGGGGTTTCGGGTTGAGGGCTTAGGGTTTGGCAAGTGTCTGGGCTTGAGCGCTTGAGATTTAGGATGTTTGGAATGAAAGGATGTTGAAGGTGAAGTAGTATTCTATGGTCCCTATATTTTAATAAACAATCCCCCGAAAACCCTCTTTGAACCATTCAGAACCCCACAATTCATAGGGCTTTGGGCTGAATGTTTTAGGGTTCAAGGACTGCGAATCGACAGCCGACCCTTAACCCTAAACCCCAAACCCTAAACCCTAAACCCTAAAACCCGGCTCCGATGATTTGCCAGTCCTTGGACAGATCGCCCTTGGCCACGCCACCTGGAGGCCCAAACCCTAAACCCTAAACCCTAAAACCTAAACCCTAAACCCCAAACCCGTTTACGCCGTTTACGACTGCAGTCAGGCTCAGCCAGAGCAGAGCCGGACCTGTTAAACCCCAAACCCTAAACCCCAAACCCCAAGGCCCCGACCTTCCCTCAAGCCATAAGCCCATTAGGGTTTAGGGTTCAGGGTTTAGGGTTTGGTGCTTACAAGCCAGTATCTACTCTATTTGCTTAAGAATCGCACCCCCCCCCCCCCCCCCAAACAAAAAAAATAAAGATTTGTTTACTCCCTATATTGCCCTTAATAGGGAAGAATCTGTCTATGCTTTGGGTGGCACTGAAGCAAACAAAGATATGTTCTCTTCCTTTCTGTCCAGATCAACAGAAATGGAATCTTCAGATGGTCTCGTGGCAAACCCCTAAACCCTGAAGAACGCGGAATGGTGGTGTGATTAACTTCCAGCACAGACGGGAGGTTGGGTTTGGCTACAGCGGGCCTTCTGATGGTTTGGGACGTTCTTGGCTGACTTCTGAACTCCTAAAAGTTTCACTGTTAGCCTCCCTATTGTAGTTTCTACAAAAACCCAAAAGGTTCAAGTCCTAAGAGCCAGCCAGAAGAAGCCAAGTGTTCGGGTTGTCGTCAACAACGTACAAGTTCAAGAGGAGACGGTACCCCTTTGGGGCTGGAAGCCGTGGAGCTTTTCATGTCTAAATGCCTTGAGGGATGCTGGGGAGCTGTGCCGATAGCACGCCTCGCCATTCTGCTGGAACAGTACCAAAAACCGTTAAAAATCCCGCAGCCAAAACTCCTTCACATCGACCCAACCCCCTGAGAAAAGCAGGGAAGCCCTTTTTGTCAAAGGGTCTTGGGTTCCACGTAGGGTTTAGAGCTCATGCAGCTCAGACCGCGACTCCTGGAGGCGGATTTCCAAAGCCCTACCAGCAAGTCTCTGAAGCTCTCAAGCTCTGGCCCTGAGAGCCTGAAGGCAGCCAGAGGCGCCCTAAACCCGCATGTTTAACCCCAAACCCTTTAACCTAAACCCCAAACCCTAGACCCTAGACCCTACACCCTACACCCTGAACCCTAAACCCGAAACCCTAAACCCTAAACCCTAAACCCTAAACCTTCTCCCTAAACCTTCTCTGTTGCCGGCCGGGCACGATCAAGAGCCGCAATTCTGGGTGCATCTTCGCTCTCGGGGCCTGGAAGGTCGGGCTGAAGGGTGTGGACCTGAGCTTCAGTATGGTTTAGGGTTTAGGTTTGCGGATTTAGGGTTTAGGGTTTAGGGCGTAGGGTGTAGGGCTTAGGGCTTAGGGCTTAGGGCTTAGGGTTTGCGATTCAGGGTTTAGGGTTTAGGAAAGTAATGGCAAAAAGTCAATAAGACGCCACGCTTTCGAATAATCAAAGAAAAAGGACAGCAATAACTTGGCAATAATGTAAGAACAACACTAGTGATGATAATCTTATCTGCTAACCTTTCTTGGAGGATTGGGTAGTTTTGATACGGGCTATCAAGTAGCCTAACTTAACCCAGCGCATGCCCAGCTATAAGTGTCTTGGCAGGTAGGTGCCCAAGAAAGGGCGAAGTGACTCCTCAAACCAGCCGTGGAGTGGGCAGCCAGAAATAGAGCATAAGCAGGGCTATAAGTAGGATAACCTGGCTGCTACAGTGATAGGCTTGTATAGCTTGCTGGCCATGATTACCTTCGTAAACCAAGCCCAGGGCACACGTGGAAGGTGATTTCCCACATCCATCACTTCTTCAGGCAGCGAGATCCCCAGCGCTAGTGGCTGTCCACGCTGCGCCTGCGTGCATGTCATAGTCCGAAGCCCAATAACTGACAGAGAGTACAATAAAATAACAGGATAGCTATGTAAACTAACATACAGCTAGTAAGCAATCATCCTAGTAGAATAATCATATTCGACTATAACGATGATCTTCAAAAAGAAGTAAGCAATAATTAATATCAACTTGATGATAACCGTATAGTAAGAACAGAATTCTTATGCACTGCAAGTGTACAAATGCTATTTTGTAAATGATACAAAAGTAAACGCTTTCTGAATAACACACAATACAGCAATACTTCTGCAATCAAAAGATTGCGTAAGATAATGAAAGCGGGGTTTTATGGTTCGCGCGAGTCGTCCCTTCGCTTAAAGAAGCGCAGGACATGAGCCTAGAAACATGACTCTAATATTAAGATCACAGAACATAGAAGAAACTTGAATTATACTGATATAATAACGAATACTCATATGCTAGTTTTTAATATATGCAGACAAAGCTGTGAAAATGTAACCACGAACCAACACAGAATATCATAATATATTACTATAAAAAACACCATAGGATGACAATTTCATGGTTATAAATATATACTTATACATAATAATATAATATAAGATTCAAAATCAGATTTATGTATAGCAATATATATTGAATATAGACATATAGTAATGCAAAATAATATACATTAACATAACAAGATATTGAAATGCCAATATATAATATCGTGATATGAATGCATTGACAATATGGAAAATACTACTTTGCCGACATAAAATTATAAAATACAGTAAGAAATAAGACAATGAAACCTGATAAAATACAAAAACAATATTTTTGCCATGTAATAAACAAGTCAGACTGCCGTACTACAAGGAAGAGCATACTAAAGTTCACAACAAAAGCAGAGCAGTCATCATGGCATGAAGGACACGCACCTTGTTCCGCGGCTGTGAACGTCCAGCTAGGGCACGCCCGTCCGCATTCATAGCAAGCCTTTGCCGCCCTACTGTTGCCGAAGGGCCTTTTGTGTAAGTGGCCAGCCTTGCCTGCATCTGCTCTCTGTGCTGCCCTGGGGTGTTACGGCAGATCAGATTAAGGGCCGATGCCCAGGTGTTCAAACGCCAAACTCTACACTGGCATTGTGGTATTCTGCGGCGAGCAGCTTTGGCGAAGCTTGAGAGGAGCTGGGCAGATGAATGTGCAGCAGCGCTGTGCGACGGAGAAGAGGTGAAGAACTAAACTAGACTAAGCCCCAAGCCAAATTGCAGCAAGCTTATGCGAGACGGCTCTTGCAGTCTGGCATTAAATCTACACAGGCTTCACAGCTTGTAGACACCACTTAGCGAACCTACGGGGGCAACTGCAGGGCAGCGTACCAGTTCTCTCATTGCAACAGCCGGAATCACACATCAAGACGTGAGTGACTGTATCAAGTGCTGGTATTGTACCATTGATTTAGGAATGATGTCCCTGTGCCTGCCGCAGCTTCCTCTATGACTAAACCCTAAAACCTTACGGCCCCAAAGGCGCACAGCAGCTCCTCCCCCACCTGTGGTTTGGAGCTTCCTGGCATGGAATCTCGTACAGTTTGGGTTCAGGGTTGCGTGCTGTAGGCTGTTGGTTTTGGGGCTGCCTGAGATGGGTTCTTAGATCCAGCACGTGTCGGAAGCTCCGGTTCTTTCTGAAATCAAGTACCGGAGGTGCATCGTCAACGGAAAACATGATCCACATGTCATGCTTGCCGTGTGCTGTGTCTCCACGTTGCTCGACCAAGATGCCAGGACACAACTGTGCCAGCAGCACGAACAGATTGCATGCTTGAAGGGTGCAGCCTTGGCTGCACCAGGGGTCCAAGATGAGGATTTCTGCAGTTGCCATGCACGAAAGGCCGACCCCGAGAGCCCTCTCCAACACGCACAGCGCTTCAAGAGCCGAGCCCCTTCAACAGCTTTCTGGAGTTTAGGGTTTAGGGTTTAGGGTTAAGGGTTTAGGGTTTAGGGCTTAGGGTTTAGGGTTTAGGGTTTAGGGTTTGCCTTGCAATCCTTCCCGAGAGGGTCCGAGGTCTGGGCGCAGGCCAGGCTGCGGGGACCTCGCCGAGGCAGATTCGCACGGTGCCGGTTTCCTATATCCGGACATGCAAACAGTCAAACAGTTATTTCATATTACCTCCGTAGAGCACGGCGTGAGTCCGCCCGGCATTTTTAACATCCGGAAATAGACCTCCCCTCCTCCCCGCTCCAATCGTTGAAGGGGGTGGCCGGAAGGGCGGGTTAGCTGGACAGGAGGGCTGGGAGGGGGGGTTTAGTGAATAAGTACGAAAACATGCGGATTTAACCTCGAGGCCATTGCAGGTTGGCCGCCCTCCCACTTGTTTAAAAAAACGTCACCGTAACAAAATTGGGGCTTTGGAGGAGGGGTTCGCAAAATGCTTAGCCGCGTAGCCGTAAAACAGCTGCAGCAACCACACGAAGCCTGAGACTCTGAGGCCTGAACAGCCAACCCCCAAACAGGCTTTTCCAACTTGAGCGGAAGCGAACCCAAAACCCAAAGCGTGAGCCACCAGCAAGAATTCTGAAGGCCTTAGCCTCTGACAACCTCGATAACTCACTGGCTGAGGGGTCAGGGTCAGGGGAAGGTAGCTAAGTTTTGGGCTTGCAAGGATTCATAGTACTAATAATGAATAAAGCGCGTTCGTGAGCAAAGTACATCCCTGGCGAGGAAGCGGCCTAGGCAATTGGTAAAGGATCCTGCGCTTAAGGATAATTACGCACACGGGGTCCAATAACTGATTCGCGGAAAGTTTCGACCCGGAACCCAGAGAGGAGGACCGAAACCGGAAGAGCTAAAGCATCATGTCTTTGGGGACTGTATGGGGACTTTGGCGAAACACTTGACGAATGTAGCCACCATTTTTGTTCAGGGCGCAGGGTTGTGGGGGATTCGGCTTTAGGGGCCTGTCCACACCACGAACTGAACAGGCAAGGCGCCTGCATCAAGTGGCTGGGCGTCTCCCGGAAGAGCACCGAAGAGGTCTCAAGGTGGATCGCTTCATGCTCCACTCCCATGAAGATAGCCCTGAGTCTCTGAACACTTGGGGGTGGCGCATGGCGCAGCCTTCTGGGTCCAAGCTTCAGAGAATTGAGGTGGCTCTTGTTGAATGCTCTAGGGATAGAAGTTACAAGTAGCCGTGTAAAAAGGCCTCCTAAACACGGCTACATCTAGCGATGACCCTGGCTGTCCTCAACTTGTGTACATGTAGATATGACATACTACCCATGAACCTCTGGAATCAGGCCATCAGGGTCCCGACCACAAGGGGTGATCCCAGGTAATCTTCACCGGCGAAGTGCCATTATTGTCCTCAAGGTCCGGGTGAGTGGCGATGACCTGGCGACGGGCGACAAGGGTGAGCTCCAGCACTGGGCCCCAAACGAACACCGGCGTGTCAGGTGGTGCCCAATGCATATCGAGTGGGTGGTTGGTGGCTAACCTCATGCACCATGTCGATGCTCAAGAATCCTGCATCGCACATCTCATGCGGAGGCCACGCTCAAGCCGCTGTGAGTCTATCATCGCTCAAAAACACAAACCGTCTACAGGGATGGGTAGGGGTGTAGCTGAAAATTTAGGGCGTAAGGTTCAGGGATACTGGCTTGGCATTGGTGTGGTGCGGACTCGACTTGTGTGGAGGATGGTCATTTTTCGAATGTCGGAAACAGCGGAACTACATGTACAGTCCACCAGCAGGGCAAGGAAGCTGAGGCGACGACATCGCTGACAACCTTGTACACTTTCTTCCGGTATTCCTGGACCTGAAAGCCGGTTTTTTTTTGCTCAGCTTGTTTTGTTTGCTTTTTTCTTTGGGGGGGGGGGGGGGGGATTGCGGCTTATGGGGTGAATTAAGGCGGCCAAGAGCACTGAAGCCCTCAACTAACCAGAAAGCAGCCTCCGCACCCAACTCCAGGTACCGCGCCTCCTTCACTGTGGGCCAGACCATATCCTGGCCAGGCGAAGGCACTAGGGTTTAGGGCTTAGGGCTTAGGGTTTAGGGCTTAGGGCTTAGGGTTTAGGGCTTACGGCTTAGGGCTTAGGGTTTAGGGCTTACGGCTTGTGCGGGTTGAGGCTTGTAGAGTTTGCGTGCTGCAGGGCTGTATAGGGTGTAGGAACCCCTCCCAGAGGTGCCAAGCCGCATTTTTGTGCATGTCATCCCAAAGCATCTCGTCCACTCCAACCTCCGGGGCTGCGGCGCAGGTTCTTGTGGAATACAGAGGCCATGATTGTAAGAATAGGGGTTCTGGGAAGTATCGTATATTTACAAAGGGACCATAAACTTAAAGAATACTGCACTTCTGAAGCTGACCTGAATGCCGAACCCAATGCAGTTAATTCCAGAGTCCCATGACGTTGGCCCTCAATCAGAAACCCCATCGGAGGCCACCTGTCACTCCTGCCCACACATGCTTGAGGGCTTCGGGTTTGTATCGCGGCTGTCTTGCGAGCTTTTTGCCAAGCGCATCTCTCTCAGCTGAGCGTTCGCACTGCCGGCGCAGATGTCGGCATGCCTGCCCACGGTCGCGGTCGCCCCGCAATGCAAGGCAAGCACGCCCATCCTAAGATTTAGCCGAAGCCCTCATTTAGGAGTCTGTCTCATAAATGCGCAGCCTTGCAATGAAAGCCCAAAAAAACGAGAATGAACCAAAAGCCGGGTCAAGTTGGCATCCATCGCTTAGGGTTTACGGTGAAGGGACCAATGCACTGTTTCGGATGCGTTGTGGGTTTTACTTTTCGCCCAGGGTGGTAGACGAACCTCTTGCATCCTGCGAACCAACCCGCACCCTAAACCTAGCCTCCACATGCTTATGGAGACTGAAAGCTTGGAGAACAGCAAAAGGGTATAGGAAGTGAACCTTCAAGAACACCTTTCGTGGGCTACAAACTCAAAGGCTCCGAAGCCTCAGCCGGAAAGATCAAGTCGAAGCCCATCAAAAGAAACAGTCCGCAAACTAAAGCCTCCAAAGCCCTAGACCTAAAAGCCTAAGCCCCCTTAGCTTCTAAGCCCTAAGCCCTAAGCCCTAAACCCTATACCCTAAACTTTAACCAAACATCTTCCACTAGTCCCAGGGCCGCTTCTCATGCCTGCAGGAGGATCGGCCTGTAGCTCCACATCCTCACGCTCCTGGGATTGAGGGTTTCTCCGGCTTAGAGTTTAGAATTTAGGGTTTCGGGTTTCGGGTTTCGGGTTGCCCCGACTTGTTGAGACCCGCCCCCGCTTGCGCTCCACCCTCGCCTCGCCAGGTTGAGGGTTTCTCGTGCAAGCATATCCGAGGCCCCTCGAAGGAGGGCCCCTTCGAGGCCTGGCGCCGGGAATCCTTCTGAAGCATTCCTGGGACACCTGGAATGTCTAAGAGCTTTTGGAGGAGAAGTGAAGAGATTGGAGGCCCTGGCAGGTGTCTGGGATTTGGTGTTGGGGGCTGGCTGGCGCATCACCCTTTGGCCAAGGGATGATGTACATCATTCTTGGAGGCCCCCTAGAAAATTTGCGAGGAAGGATGATGTACGCACCGGCCAGAGGGCTGCCCACAGCCCATGGCCTTCAGGGGAGATCTTCAAGGCCTAATGCCTAAACCCTAAACCCTAAACCCTAAACTCTAAACCCTAAACCCTAAACTAAACCCCCCTAGACCCCTAAACCCTAGTGCAGCTTGATGCTCGGAGCTGCGTCGGAACATGGACCCCCGCATTGCCGGGACAGGGAAGCTGAAGGTGTGCAGCAAAAAGCAGAGGAAGGCGAGCCACTCCTCTGCGGGACTAGGGGCTTAGGGCTTAGGGATTAGGGTTTAGGGTTTAGGGTTTAGGGTTTCGGGTTTAGGGTTTAGGGTTTAGGGTGCAAGGTTTAGGGTTGGGGGGTAGGATTCAGGGCTCAGGGGGTTTTAGTGTGTGAGGGCCCTAAGGCGTAAACTTAAAACTATCCACCCGAAACGTAGGTCTTTACTAGGATTTTGGCTTTGGGGTTTTGGGGGCTTCCGGCTGCGTCGGGCCAGTGCAATGTCAGAAAACCTAGGCCCCCCAGCCCCCCGCCTGAACCAAACCCAACCCAAATCCAAGCAAGATCCTAAACCCCCCTCAAGGACGCTAAACCCGAAACCTCCCTAAAACACCAACCCCCGGCCCACCCCCCTCGCCCCTTAACCCCAGACTCTTCGGTCAAGGGGCTGCCCAGGCGAAACCAGACTTATGAAGCGCCATGGCAGCGAACCAGATCAACAGAAGGACCTGAGCTGAGGCTGGAGAAGTTCCGCTTGAGGCTTTTCTAGGGACTTAAGACTTCCATTTAGGGTTTAGGGTTTAGGGTTTAGGGTTTAGGGTTTAGGGTTTAGGGTTTAGGGTTTAGGGTTTAGGGTTTAGGGTTTAGGGTTTAGGGTTTAGGGTTTAGGGTTTAGGGTTTAGGGTTTAGGGCCCAGGGTTTAGGGGTGGCTCAGTGACAGGCAAGCAGCCAGTGCGGAGACGCTGGTGACCATGGCCAGGCGCTGGTCTCGGAACGCTGACACTTTGGGGGGTGCGGGGGTTTAGGGTTTAGGGGAGAGGGTTTTATTTAGGGTTGAGGGTTGAGGGTTGAGGGTTTAGGGTTTAGGGTTTAGGGTTTAGGGTTTAGGGTTTAGGGTTTAGGGTTTAGGGTTTAGGGTTTAGGGGGGGAAGGAGCATCGCAAGGCTGCAATCGTTTTTGGAGCCCGAGATCCTACACTCTAGCAGCAGGCCACTGGACCTTTGAAGCAATAGGGTTTAGGGTTTAGGGTTTAGGGTTTGGGTTTGGGGTTTGGGGTTTGGGGTTTGGGGTTTGGGGTTTAGGGTTTAGGGTTTAGGGTTTAGGGTTTAGGGTTTAGGGTTTAGGGTTTAGGGTTTAGGGTTTAGGGTTTAGGGTTTAGGGTTAGGGCTCAGAATTGCAGGGCGCTTCGAGGTCCAACCTTGTTTGGGGGTACTTCTCGTCGACCTCCAAGTGTGAACCCCTAAAACCCTAAGGGTCCAAACCCCTAAACCCTGAGAAACGCTGAGCCCTAAGCCCCCCCTCCCCTCTTCCCCCCTACAAAAAAACACGCACACAGACGCAAACAGAGCAAAACCCCAAAACCCAAAGCTTTCAAACTCAAAAAGAAAGCAAAAGCAACCCCCCAAAACCCCACAAAGACCAAAGCCGAGCGACAGGGCGCGGAGCCGGACTTACATCTCAGTGCAAAGGCCAGCAGCCAGGAGCCCATCCTTGCGGGGGGAGGTTTGGGGGTTTGGGGGGATTTGGGGGGTTTCTGGGGGGTTTGGGAGATTTTGGGTGGTTTTGGGGGTTTGGGGGATTTTGGGGGGGTTTGGGGGGGTTTGGGGGGGTTTGGGGGGGTTTGGGGGGGTTTTGGGGCTTTCGGAGATTTGGGTATGCAAGGTGCTTAGGATGTTTAGGGGTTTAGGGGGGGTTTGGAGGGTTTGGGGGTTTGCGTGGTTTGAGTATTCAAGGTGTTTAGGGGGTTTAGGGGTTTGGGGGGTTCAGGAGGTTTGGGGGTTTGTGGGGTTGGGGGTTTGCGGGTTTGGGTGGCTTGGCTATTTGTGTTTAGGGTGCTTAAGGTGTTTGGCGGGTTTGGGGCGTGTAGGGCCTACAGGGTCTGCAGGATGCAGGGTTTAGGGAGAGCGCACATTGTTCGGGAAAAAGGTGTTTGGGGGGTTTATGAGTTTGGGGGTTCAAGGTGTTTTGGGTTGAACGTGTTCTTTAGGGTGCTTCATTGGCGTTCGTAAGCACTGGTGATGGTGGTGCTGATGGGGCGGGGGAGAAAAGCCGCAGTCAGTCAGAATCAAACCTGTAATGCATACCAGGGATGAGCAGCTATCTCACCGCCTCTCATGCACAAGATCCAGAGCCATGGATCCGAAAATTCAAGCAAGTGTCTTTGGGTCTAGGGGGGTTAGGGCAGCACCTTTCCCTTTAACATAAACCTCAAACCCGCCTAATCCTTTGCTGTTGTCAGGCGGCATGATCCCCGCAAAGAGGAGGTGGACCCTTGCAGAACGCCAGAAAGGAAAGGCAGGGGATTCTTCGGACGCCGAGGCATGAATCTTGCAAGAAAAAATGCCTCGTGAAGTTATCGGTTTCTGTTTGGCTTTTGGAACGTTCTTGTTCGTAGCTTAGGAGTTCCAGTCGGTTTAGGGGGCTAAGGAAAAGGGTCTGGGGTTTGGGGTCTGCTAACCTGATCATGGATTCGGTATCCTGGTTCCCTCCTCGAAGTTATGGTCCCTGTTTTCGGTACCCAAGAGGACCCCGCATTTGAAGAGGCGCACCCGATAATCTAGCGAACCTGCCCAACATATTGGGGTTCTGCCGACGGGCATATGCCGGGGTCCAGGATAAACATTGTCTTAAGAACATGACGATCCTCGTGAGTAGAGCTATGCTTGGAGGCTGATTGACTGCACGGCCGCGGCCATCAGCGGCCTGCTGTTTGACGATTAGGCCAGCATCATGTGCATCAGCGGCCTGCTGTTTCACGATTGGGGCGTCTACGAGGGCATCCGGCACAGCTGTGGCCACCAGCATCAATGTGCATCAGCGGCCTGCTGTTTCCCGATTGGGGTGTCTATGAGGGGCATCCAGCACAGCCGAGGCCAGCATCATGTGCATCAGCTGCCTGCTGTTTCACGATTGGGGCGTCAACCAAGGCCAGCATCATGTGCATCAGCGGGCACAGCCGGCACAGCCGAGGCCAGCATCATGTGCATCAGCTGCCTGCTGTTTCACGATTGGGGCGTCAACCAAGGCCAGCATCATGTGCATCAGCGGCCTGCTGTTTCACGATTAGGGCGTCTACGAGGGGCATCCGGCACAGCCGCCGAGGCCAGCATCATGTGCATCAGCGCCTGCTGTTTCCCCGATTGGGGCGTATACGAGGGGCATCCGGCGCCAGCCGAGGCCAGCATCATGTGCATCAGCGGCCTGCTGTTTCACGATTGGGGCGTCTACGAGGGCATCCGGCACAGCCGAGGCCAGCATCATGTGCATCAGCGGCCTGCTGTTTCCCGATTGGGCGCCAGCCGAGGCCACCATCATGTGCATCAGCGGCCTGCTGTTTCACGATTGGGGCGTCTACGAGGGCCATCCGGTCCGGCACAGCTGTGGCCACCAGCATCAATGTGCATCAGCGGCCTGCTGTTTCCCGATTGGGGCGTCCACGTGGGGCATCCGGCACAGCCGAGGCCAGCATCATGTGCCCTGTTGTTTCAACGATTGGGGCGTCTACGAGGGGCATCCGGCGCCAGCCGAGGCCAGCATCATGTGCATCAGCGGCCTGCTGTTTCCCGATTGGGCGCCAGCCGAGGCCACCATCATGTGCATCAGCGGCCTTCTGTTTCACGATTGGGGCGTCTACGAGGGCCATCCGGTCCGGCACAGCTGTGGCCACCAGCATCAATGTGCATCAGCGGCCTGCTGTTTCCCGATTGGGGCGTCCACGTGGGGCATCCGGCACAGCCGAGGCCAGCATCATGTGCCCTGTTGTTTCAACGATTGGGGCGTCTACGAGGGGCATCCGGCGCCAGCCGAGGCCAGCATCATGTGCATCAGCGGCCTGCTGTTTCCCGATTGGGGGCGTCTACGAGGGGCATGTTTAGGGTTAGGGTTTAGGGTTTAGGGTTTAACTTTTAGGGTTTGGCTTTTGGGTTTGACTTTTAGGGTTTAGGTTTTGGCGTTTAGGCGTGGCGTTTAGGGTTTACGGTTTAGGGTTTAGGGCTTAGGTTTCGGGCTCAGGGTTCAGGGCGCAGGGTTCAGGAAACTGGCTTCACACGATTCAGAAAACCACGCGATTCAGGAAGCTGCCCAATTCAGGAAACTACGGCGGGTAGGGGGTGGGGTCGTGGAGGCAGGATGATAACGTTCATGTCAAAAGTGCTTTCAGACAACTTTGCGATTTCCAAATCCACGCTTGCCAGTTTCCCGAATACGCGGTTTCGAGTTTCCCGAATCTGCGGTTCCAGTTTCCCGAATCACGTTTTTCCGGTTTTCAGTTTCCGAATCCGCTGACCGGTAGAATGCCTTTGCAAAGGCACTTGTGAAGTAGGCGGGAGCCACATGGTCTTTCTATTCTGCGGATGAGGCCAGCATCATGTGCATCACCGGCCTGCTGTTTCACGATTGGGGCGTCAACCAAGGCCAGCATCATGTGCATCAGCGGCCTGCTGTTTCACGATTAGGGCGTCTACGAGGGGCAAACCGGCACAGCCGAGGCCAGCATCATGTGCATCAGCGGCCTGCTGTTTCCCGATTGGGGCGTATACGAGGCGCATCCGGCGCCAGCCGAGGCCAGCATCATGTGCATCAGCGGCCTGCTGTTTCACGAATGGAGCGCCTGCGCAATCAGTTTCACGATTGGGGTGTCTACGAGGGGCATCCGGCGCCAGCCGAGGCCAGCATCATGTGCATCAGCGGCCTGCTGTTTAACGATTGGGGCGTCTACGAGGGGCAAACCGGCACAGCCGAGGCCAGCATCATGTGCATCAGCGGCCTGCTGTTTCCCGATTGGGACGTATACGAGGGCCATCCGGTCCGGCACAGCCGTGGCCACCAGCATCAACGTGCATGAGCGGCCTGTTGTTTCATGATTGGGGCGTCTACAGAAGGGCCTCGGCACAGCCGAGGCCAGCATCATGTGCATCAGCGGCCTGCTGTTTCCCGATTGGGGCGTCTACGAGGCATCCGGCACAGCCGAGGCCAGCATCGTGTGCATCAGCGGCCTGCTGTTTCTCGATTGGGGCGTCTACGAGGGGCATCCGGCACAGCCGAGGCCAGCATCATGTGCATCAGCGGCCTGCTGTTTCCCGGTTGGGGCTTATACGAGGGGCATCCGGCGCCAGCCGAGGCCAGCATCATGCGCATCAGCAGCCTGCTGTTTCACGATTGGGGCGTCTACGAGGGGCATCCGGCGCCAGCCGAGGCCAGCATCATGTGCATCAGCGGCCTGCTGTTTCCCGATTGGGGCGTCTACGAGGGGCATCCGGCACGGCCGAGGCCAGCATCATGTGCATCAGCGGCCTGCTGTTTCACGATTGGGGCATCTACGAGGGGGCATCCGGCACGGCCGAGACCAGCATCATGTGCATCAGCGCCTGCTGTTTCCCCGATTCGGGCGTCTACGAGGATGTGCATCAGCGGCCTGCTGTTTCTCGATTGGGGCGTCTTCGAGGGGCATGATTGGGGCGTCTACAGAGGGGCATCCGGCACAGCCAAGGCCAGCATCATGTGCATCAGCTGCCTGCTGTTTCACGGTTGGGGCTTATACGAGGGGCATCCGGCGAGGCCAGCATCATGTGCATCAGCGGCCTGCTGTTTCCCGATTGGGCGTCTACGAGGATGTGCATCAGCGGCCTGCTGTTTCTCGATTGGGGCGTCTACGAGGGGCATCCGGCACAGCCGAGGCCACCAGCATCAATGCGCATTGTTTCATGATTGGGGCGTCTACAGAGGGGCATCCGGCACGGCCGAGGCCAGCATCATGTGCATCAGCGGCCTGCTGTTTGACGATTGGGGCGTCTATGAGGGGCAAACCGGCACAGCCGAGGCCAGCATCATGCGCATCAGCGGCCTGCTGTTTCCCGATTGGGGCGTACACGAGGGGCATCCGGCGCCAGCCGAGGCCAGCATCACTTTGAAGGGTTTGGGGGGGGGGGGGGGATGGTTGTTGATGTTGTTTGAAAGCCTGAGTGCGCGTCTACACGGGTTTTTTTTCGGCCTGGTGAGGGGCGCCTGGTGTTAAGGGCCGAAAAACCCTGACCCTCTCGCTTCCGGGGGGCGCTCGGTTCATGTGCATGGAGATCCAGGCCATGGGAATCCTCAGACTCCACAGGTTAAGGGTTTGGGAGGGCTTCATGGACTCAGAGCCGCTAAGGAGTGGACTTTAAGGGGATTTCAGGGACTTTGGGAGGTTGAGAGGTCTGCGGGTTTGAGTGAATTTGGTTTAAGGTTATACAGGGGCTTTGGGGAGTTTAGGGGCGTAAGCTTTCAGGGCGGATCACCCCCCCCAGCAGGTCAGCGCTTTCTGGCGGCGATGACAAGAATTACGCCTCAGGTCAGAGTATGATAAACGCTACATGGGGGTTTCCCATAGTACGGGACCCCTGCCCCAAATAGTAGGGGACCCCCTTAAAATGAGGACCCCCAATAAGGTACCCCCCAATATCATAAACCCCCACATGTATTGAAACCACTGTCAATTGATGCCAAGGTGCATCGCCAAGCATCCCACCAGGCCAGAAATGCGGAATGCTCGCACTTCCCTGGGAAGACTTCCCGGCTTCTTCGCGCTTGGGTGAGGATCAAGCTGGGCCCCTTGTGTTCAGACCGGGCTCCGATAGCAGATAAGCCTTTTTGCCAAAGCCGTGACAAGGTCAACAGGACAACCTGTGTCTAACCCGCGTCCTGCTGGAGAGCGTGCTGTACTTCTCCAGGACGTATCCAGCCTGCATCCATCCACATCACATTCACTTGCGCGGTCTTGCAGAATCTGCTCTCAAAAACATGCGTGCCCTACGTGCAAAGCCCAAAGCCCTGCGGACTCAAGAGAGCAGCCTTCTGGAATGCATGTGCCATACAGAGGCTGGTGAAGGTGAAGCCCAGCCCAAAGATCGCATACCTCAGGTCTTATGTCGTCTCACTGAATCTTCAGAATACTTCAAAGTAGTATTCCCAAATTAGCTCCCGGAGAGCCCCGACAAATTCCCTAAGCCATGCCATGAGGCTCTGCGAACCTCTTCAACCTACTCTCAAGCCGAGATACTCGGGCATGTAGATGCCCCCGCAGGAAATATCCTGGATCAACTTGTGCCGACAGCCCCTTGGAATGACAGGGTCTAGGGTTTAGGAGTTTAGGGCTTAGGGTTTAGGGTTTGGGCTTCAAACTCTGACCTGCATCCAGGCTATGCCACAGGCACACTCTCTCTCCAAACACTGCGTACTGTCTCCAGTGCATCGTGGCGGCGAAACCTCAAATTCCGGCGTGACCTGGTGGTCACTGGTGGTTGCTCCAAGTCCCTTTGAGTTTACAGGCTTTGAGGAATGTGGTGGTTTCCGATTTTTTTTGAAGGGGGGGGGGGGGGGGGGGTGGTACCTTATTGGAGTCCTTATCATAAGGGGATCCTACTATTCGGGGGTCTAAATTGGGGGTCCCCCGTATCGTAAACCCCTATTTGAGGGCGCGAATTTGTTGATTGGCAGGTGCAAGGATTGGTTTCGTTCGGGTTCTCAGTTGCACGACCATGATGTGGGGTGTTCGAAAATACGGGACGCCTAATGTAGACCCCCAAATAGTAGGATTCCCTGTATAGTCAGGACCCAAATGAGGTACTTCAAACCCTAAACCCAAAACCCTAAACCCTAAACCCCATTTATGACCAGCCACACTCTTGCCGATGTGGTGGAGCCACATGGCGGTGCTGCTGCTGACAAAGGCGGTTGCCGTTGCAACCTTCTTGCAAGCTTAGGTTTCGGGTTTCGGGTTTCGGGTTTAGGGTTTGGGGTTTAGGGTTTAGGGGTTAGGGTTTAAGGTTTAGGGTTTAGGGGTTAGGGTTTAAGGTTTAGGGTTTTGGGTTTAGGGTTTTGGGCTTAGGGTTTAAGGTTTAGGGCTTAGAGTTGAGGGTCTATAGGGTAGAGGGTTTAGGGCTTAGCATGAAACAGTGCTGCAAGGCATCATCCTTTCATGCTTCGTTTTTCAAGAGCCTGAGGCCCAGGCTATAGCTCCCACTTTGTGGGCATCATTCTCGAGACACGGCACAATGGTTTCTGTTGTCACCATGGCTCGGGGCAGTGGAAAGGCAAGCAAATCTTGGTGGCCAAGGAGTGGGCCACGGGCTGTGGAGGATCTGAGAAGATTCTAAATCATGCCTGGAAAAGTTGAGCTTGATCGCACGTTGATGGACTCCACCGCGGCAGTGCTTAGGCTGTGAAGGAACAAGAACAACGCCTTGAGGCCTTAAGAAGCAGTGTACAAGGAGGGTGCATGACTTAAAGAGTGCAAGAGGGCCCTGGGCAGCCCTGGAGGCCTATGGCTTCCGAAGCTTGAGCCGCTGTGCGTTGGCTTTCGAGGGGTGGGCGTCTAGGGGGAGGGAAAGGAATGGGTTTAGGGTTTAGGGTTTAGGGTTTAGGGTTTAGAGTTTAAGGGTTCAGGGTTCAGGGTTTTGGGTTTAGGGTTTAGGGTTTAGGGTTTAGGGTTTAGGGTTTAGGGTTTCGGGTTTCGGGTTTAGGGTTTAGGGTTTAGGGTTTTTGGGGTTTAGGATTTAGGGTTTAGGGTTTAGGGTTTAGGGTTTTTGGGGTTTAGGGTTTTAGGGTTTGGGGTTTAGGGCGGAATATTGGAGACCCAAGGACCGAATCCCGAAACCTCCGTCCCCTGAGCAGCCCCGACGAAGTCATCTCATAAGATCCGGTGCCTCCATGATGGACTCCATGTACGGATCCACAGGGTCCTTTGGCTTCGCCGGAGAGCAGGCTGGGGCAGGCTGTACCCTAACCCCTAAATCCGCTTCCTGTTGCATCTTAGTTACAGGGTTGACATAAATTCACCTGTGATGGGTCAATGAGATTGGATGCCTTTGCAATAGCTCCAACACCCTGAACTACTTCATCTTTACAGGGGGGGCCTTTGCAGCTACATTTTAGCTCAAAACCCTCGCTAAACCCTGACCCAAGCCTGGAGCACTCCAGCCACCCGCAGCTTATTGATGTACAGGCAGGGAGTGTGTCCTGGGTGCGACAAGGGCTTTGGGTTTGGGGCTTCAGGGAGTTCAAGAAGCGCGGGAATATTGCCCGGGATTTTGAAATCCTAGCTCTGAGCCCCCTGACAAGCAAGATGCCACCTTCAACCCTAAAAGCGTGTTTAGGGTTGAGAAAGCTTGGGATTATATCCTGCATCCTCTGATCCGGAAACCCTAAACAACAACCTCCGCCCCTCTGCTTGCAATGGCTCGAAGGATTGAGGGGAGGGGGGGGGGGGGGCGGTTTAGGGTTTAGGGTTTAGGGTTTAGGGTTTAGGGTTTAGGGTTTAGGGTTTAGGGTTTAGGGTTTAGGGTTAGGGTTTAGGGTTTAGGGTTTAGGGTTCAGGGTTGAGGATAGGTCCCCACTCAGCTTACCAGTTCTTAGTCAGGGAAGGAGGCTTGTAGGGCTTAGGGAAGCGCACCGGCGCTAAGCCCCGAACTCCCAGAGACCTCAGGGCCCCCAAAGCCCGACAGAGCACTACAGCAACGCCTGCGCCCTGAACCCTAAACCCTAAACCCTAAACCCTAAACCCTAAACCCTAAACCCTAAACCCTAAACCCTAAACCCTAAACCCTGAACCCTGAACCCTGAACCCTGAACCCTGAGGCTGACTCCATAGTAGAAGATTTGAGGATGCCGGAGGCCTTGGCGGTGCAGATCGGGCTTCTTCAGGGTTCGCAGCTTTGCAATTGTCTCAAGGGCTCAAGGGGGTTGGGGTTTAGGGGTTTAAGGTTAGTGGTTTAGGGTTTAGGGTTTCGGGCTTCGGGCTGTTTATTTCGGGCGGTCTGGAAGTATTGAGGACTGAGGTTGGTTGGTTGAGCGGCTGTCAAGGATGGCAGGAATCATAAACAGAGCTTGAGTAACGGTAGCAGTGGCTTGTCCGTGATCCGGCAGTTCCAGGAGAATACTGAAGAGCCACATGTCCGCTAAATCGGACCGAATCATCAAACAGGCAACTGGGACCGCGTACCGTGCACAGGAGGCCTGTAGAAAGGCTCCTGCTGACCATGACAGGGCTCAAAGGGTGTTGCGGTTGTTGGTGAAGCTGGCCGAGTTGCTACCGTGTAAGTTTTGCTTGGTGGGTGCAGGGCTGGGGGGGCCTTTGAGACTTTAACGGATAGGTGGCAGGTCTTCGTGCGTGAGGCAGGCGAGGTGGAAATCGATAGCGCTTCTGGGCAACCGTTGAGCTTTCCGAAGCAAGACTTTGCCAACGCCGCAACGAGAAACAAAATACCTCTCCACATAGTGCACCCAAACACCGGGGCCGCAAAACGCAACACCACCCACATGACTGCCTCACCATGGAAGCCAGCGAACAACACCTCGACCTGAGAAGAGGCTGGAAACGTATGCTGAATTCTTTGGCTTGCGCTCTGCTTTTGCAAGTTGAGGCGATTATGTTATCTTCTATTCTATTGAATTATGTCATATTGTATGAGATTGTCTTATCTTATCTATCTTATCTTATTTATATCGATGTTGCCTGAGCCTGCAGCCAGTGTCCAGGAGTTGTCGAAGTACTCTTGGGCTTGCTTCCTGGTGACCTGTAGGCAAAGGCAAAACCCCACCTCCAGTTGAGTTGAGGTGGCTCAACCTGGAGCCTGCTGGGAAAGGGACCCTGCACACCACATCCCAAACCCTCGAGAAAGATCGGCCTGGTTGAGATTGGGCATGGGCAGTGCCCGCAGGGCTCCATCTGGGGAAACGCCAGGACAAAGCCCAGGCCTCTGAGTGCGCAGCTCCCCCCCACACATTCGGGCTTGGAACCCTAAACCTAAACCCTAAACCCTAAACCCTAAACCCTCAATTCAGCGACCTACTGTGCCAGGAAGCAGGAGTTCTTTGGGAGCCGCTTCAGCTCTCTGAGCCCTCTCTTTCCACCCCCGAGCCTCGAAGAATGCGTAAAGAAACTTGAACCGAGCAACGCTCGGCCTGGAATTCCGCACTCCAAGCCCCCTCCCCCCCCAATGTATTGAAACCTTGAAACCTTGAAACCTTGAAACCTTGAAACTTGAAACCCTAAACCCTAAACGCTAAACCCTAAACCCTAAACCCTAAACCCTAAACCCTAAACCCTAAACCCTAAACCCAAGAGCCGCCCTCAACACCTCAAAAGCAGCGAGTTCTGAGGCCCTCGCACGGGCGGCTTCCCGGTGTACCTCAGGGGCCAGCTTCCTCACACAAAAAACGAGTTTAGGGTTTAGGGTTTAGGGTTTAAGGTTTCGGGTTTCGGGTTTCGGGTTTAGGGTTTGGGGTTTAGGGTTTAGGTTTACACCCCTAAGCCCCAAGCGTTCTAGAATGAAATCTGAACCTCTAAACCCAAACCCCGAAACATGCGCACTGAGCCCTAAACCGGGTTCGGGGTGTAGGCCGCGGAAGCGAAAAAGGTTGCCCCTTGTGGCAGGATCCCTTAATTGAGGCCTGTTTGGGGTACCTATTGTAATATGGTGAAAAGGGACTCATCGTTTCGATTCCGCTCACAGGCTCCGTGCATTCCATGGCCTTCCAGAAGCTCAGTCACCTGGAAACCCTCGAGCGCCGCCCCTGAGAACATTATAACTATGACATTTCATGTGCTGCAAGGGTGGATTCATTTCTCCGCCTATCAAGCTACGCATCCTTCCCTCATGTCCGTATACCCCTGCGCGCCTAAACTATTAGCCTTGTCATGTGTGGCTGCTGTCGTTCGAGATTAAGGTTGCACGAGTAGTTCTCAAAATACGGGATCCGCTGATTCATATAACCCCCCAAAATACTAAACACCTGAGCATAAGACCCCCTGGATAGGGCGTCCCCCTGAAGCCTATTCGAGGATGGCTTCGCACCCTTTGAAAAATATTCTTAGATATGATCCTCTTAAACCCAATAAGGGAAAATATCCGCCGACCCCAGCCGGGGGCGGCGTCAGTGAAGACCCATTGCCCCTACCACCTACTCCACCCCATCCAAAGCTCTGGCCCATGCTCCCACTCTCCATCCCCTTGACCTACCCCTCATGGACCCAGCTCCCTACCCCTTACCCCTCACGCACCCTGCCCCGCCGCCCATGCCCCTCATGGACCCATGGGTTCTGGCCCCACGGCTCCCCTCCGCCCTTACCTCCACCACCCACGCACCCGCTCCCCGCCCATCCGCCCTTCCCGCTCCGCATACATTCCCCTTGCCCAAGCCCCCCACGCACCCCGCCATGCTTTTCATGGACCTATGGCTCCTGGTCCTATTCTTCATCCCTTGAGCTGCTCCACCCCCACCCGCAACCCCCACCCCCACCCCGCACGCACCCTGCCCCGCCGCCCGTGCTTGTCATGGGCCCCTTGCTCCTGGCGTCATGGCTCCACCCCCACCCCCAACCCCCACCCCCAACACCCCACCCTTTCCACACTTCCAACCCCCACCCCCACCACCCACGCACCCCGCCCCCCCACTGGACCCATGGCTCCTGGCCCCATTGGTGTTGGTCACATTCTTCATCCCTCGACCTGCATGGCTGCCAACGCTGGTCCTATCTATGGCCCCTGCTCCACCCCAACCCCCAACCCCCACCCCCATACCGTACGCATCCTGCCACCCCCAACCCCCAACCCCCACCCCCACCCACCCACACTTCCAACCCCTACCCCCACCCCCCACGCACCCCGCCCCCCACTGAACCCATGGCTTCTGGCCCGTGGCTTTTCAGCTGACTTTAAAGGGCCCCAGTGCATGCCCGGGCCCTCCGCCCGCTCCGCCCTCCGCCCTTCCAGCTCCGCCCACTCTCCTCTGGCCCATGCTCCCACTGTCCATCCCCTTGACCTACCCCTCATGGACCCAGCTCCCTACCCCTTACCCCTCACACCCCTCACGCACCCTGCCCCGCCGCCCATGCCCCTCATGGACCCATGGGTTCTGGCCCCACGGCTCCCCTCCGCCCTTACCCCCACCACCCACGCACCCGCTCCCCGCCCGTGCTTGTCCTGGGCCCGTCATGGCTCCACCCCCACCCCCAACCCCCATCCCCAACACCCCACCCTTTCCACACTTCCAACCCCCACTCCCACCACCCACGCACCCCGCCCCCCCACTGGACCCATGGCTCCTGGCCCCATTGGTGTTGGTCACATTCTTCATCCCTCGACCTGCATGGCTGCCAACGCTGGTCCTATGGCCCCTGCTCCACCCCAACCCCCAACCCCCACCCCCATACCGTACGCATCCTGCCACCCCCAACCCCCAACCCCCACCCCCACCCACCCACACTTCCAACCCCTACCCCCACCCCCCACGCACCCCGCCCCCCACTGAACCCATGGCTCCTGGCCCGTGGCTTTTCAGCTGACTTTAAAGGGCCCCAGTGCATGCCCGGGCCCTCCGCCCGCTCCGCCCTCCGCCCTTCCAGCTCCGCCCACTCTCCTCTGGCCCATGCTCCCACTCCATCCCCTTGACCTACCCCTCATGGACCCAGCTCCCTACCCCTTACCCCTCACACCCCTCACGCACCCTGCCCCGCCGCCCATGCCCCTCATGGACCCATGGGTTCTGGCCCCACGGCTCCCCTCCGCCCTTACCCCCACCACCCACGCACCCGCTCCCCGCCCATCCGCCCTTCCCGCTCCGCATACATTCCCCTTGCCCAAGCCCCCCACGCACCCCGCCATGCTTTTCATGGACCCATGGCTCCTGGTCCTATTCTTCATCCCTTGAGCTGCTCCACCCCCACCCGCAACCCCCACCCCCACCCCGCACGCACCCTGCCCCGCCGCCCGTGCTTGACATGGGCCCCTTGCTCCTGGCGTCATGGCTCCACCCCCACCCCCAACCCCCACCCCCAACACCCCACCCTTTCCACACTTCTAACCCCCACCCCCACCACCCACGCACCCCGCCCCCCCACTGGACCCATGGCTCCTGGCCCCATTGGTGTTGGTCACATTCTTCATCCCTCGACCTGCATGGCTGCCAACGCTGGTCCTATTATGGCCCCTGCTCCACCCCAACCCCCAACCCCCACCCCCATACCGTACGCATCCTGCCACCCCCAACCCCCAACCCCCACCCCCACCCACCCACACTTCCAACCCCTACCCCCACCCCCCACGCACCCCGCCCCCCACTGAACCCATGGCTCCTGGCCCGTGGCTTTTCAGCTGACTTTAAAGGGCCCCAGTGCATGCCCGGGCCCTCCGCCCGCTCCGCCCTCCGCCCTTCCAGCTCCCCCAACCCCCAACCCCCACCCCCATACCCCCACCCCCACACCCCCACCCCCACCCCCACCCCCACCCACCCAGCACTTTCCAACCCCTGCCAACGCCCCCACCCCCCACGCACCCCGCCCCCCACTGAACCCATGGCTCCTGGCCCGTGGCTTTTCAGCTGACTTTAAAGGGCCCCAGTGCATGCCCGGGCCCTCCGCCCGCTCCGCCCTCCGCCCTTCCAGCTCCGCCCACTCTCCTCTGGCCCATGCTCCCACTCTCCATCCCCTTGACCTACCCCTCATGGACCCAGCTCCCTACCCCTTACCCCTCACACCCCTCACGCACCCTGCCCCGCCGCCCATGCCCCTCATGGACCCATGGGTTCTGGCCCCACGGCTCCCCTCCGCCCTTACCCCCACCACCCACGCACCCGCTCCCCGCCCGTGCTTGTCATGGGCCCCTTGCTCCTGGCGTCATGGCTCCACCCCCACCCCCAACCCCCACCCCAACACCCCACCCTTTCCACACTTCCAACCCCCACTCCCACCACCCACGCACCCCGCCCCCCCACTGGACCCATGGCTCCTGGCCCCATTGGTGTTGGTCACATTCTTCATCCCTCGACCTGCATGGCTGCCAACGCTGGTCCTATTATGGCCCCTGCTCCACCCCAACCCCCAACCCCCACCCCCATACCGTACGCATCCTGCCACCCCCAACCCCCAACCCCCACCCCCACCCACCCACACTTCCAACCCCTACCCCCACCCCCCACGCACCCCGCCCCCCACTGAACCCATGGCTCCTGGCCCGTGGCTTTTCAGCTGACTTTAAAGGGCCCAGTGCATGCCCGGGCCCTCCGCCCGCTCCGCCCTCCGCCCTTCCAGCTCCGCCCACTCTCCTCTGGCCCATGCTCCCACTCTCCATCCCCTTGACCTACCCCTCATGGACCCAGCTCCCTACCCCTTACCCCTCACACCCCTCACGCACCCTGCCCCGCCGCCCATGCCCCTCATGGACCCATGGGTTCTGGCCCCACGGCTCCCCTCCGCCCTTACCCCCACCACCCACGCACCCGCTCCCCGCCCATCCGCCCTTCCCGCTCCGCATACATTCCCCTTGCCCAAGCCCCCCACGCACCCCGCCATGCTTTTCATGGACCCATGGCTCCTGGTCCTATTCTTCATCCCTTGAGCTGCTCCACCCCCACCCGCAACCCCCACCCCCACCCCGCACGCACCCTGCCCCGCCGCCCGTGCTTGTCATGGGCCCCTTGCTCCTGGCGTCATGGCTCCACCCCCACCCCCAACCCCCACCCCCAACACCCCACCCTTTCCACACTTCTAACCCCCACCCCCACCACCCACGCACCCCGCCCCCCCACTGGACCCATGGCTCCTGGCCCCATTGGTGTTGGTCACATTCTTCATCCCTCGACCTGCATGGCTGCCAACGCTGGTCCTATATATGGCCCCTGCTCCACCCCAACCCCCAACCCCCAC